TTTGAAATGCATCAAGAAATTTCCTGGATTTTTGAGTTGGACTCACAATCATCCCTGATCTTTGAATATGTAAATCTTCTTTGATTTTTTATTCGACTCAGGATTTATTTGAAATATAATAAATGGGTTTTTGTATTTGCAAAAATTTTAAAATAAATTTCATTGTTGTTTGCCCAAGGGTGTCTAAAAATTTTTTTTTTCTGTAATGTTTTTTTTTTCCTTATCCCTCACATGCCATTGCTTGTTTTCTGCCAAAACTTAATGATTATTTTTCGCAGAATCAATATGAAAATCTTCCCTTTTTAGATTTCTTTTTCTTCTTGTTGAACAGTCTTGCAGTTCAGTTGATTTAGGTTGGCAGGAACATGTACCAATATGGAAATATTACCCTCAATGTGCAGGTTTCTAAAAAAAAAAGAAATTGAGTTTATGTATTTTACTGGAATTGAAATATATTGCCCTCAATGTGCTGAATTGTTTCTACAAAAAAGAAATTGAGTTCATATATTGTACTTAAAATTATATTACTTTTTACTGTATTACTTTTCACTTAAAAAATTAAGTAATTTAGCAGTTATGCATAACTAATTATTTTATGACTGTTTAAAATTATCCTGACATAATTTGGCATTTGTCAAAGTGAAGTACTCATATTCATTCCTGGGTGTAGGATGCAATGGCACTGTGATCTCTAAAACATTTTCATTATTCAGCAAATTTCGCTTGGTCATATGGCATATTTATAAAAATCCCATTTTGTCTCTCTTTATTTAGAAAACCTAAAAAAACTATAAACTTTTCCAACTATAAACTTTTCTAAAGCAAGAGAACAACAAATTAGAAATGAGAATTTAGTCAAAACTTGTATTTCCAAAAAAAATAACTGATTTTTTTCTGAAAACATTTAAAAGACTTTTGATTTTTATCTTTTTCTTGTGAATTTATAATTTAGTAATCAAAGATTGTAATCGCTTGATCTTGACATGGGGTCTAATAGAAATTATTTTTTATAAAAAAATAAAAACTAGACATTTTCTGGTATAGTGTTTTAAAATATTTGTACAGTAACAGTAATATAGCTTCTTAACACAAGCATGACAAAATATTGCCTACAAAAACTTTCTAGTTTAATGTTTTTGTCACAAATTTTTTCTTTAACAAATTGAGCTTAACCATCTAGTAGGTTTGCATGTAAAATGTTGTAATTTTTTATCCTTCTAAATGATAGTGCATGTGAAAAACCCCACTCCATTTTTTACCTACAAAATGTTCTATTCAAAGATAAAACCTCAGATATTTTTGTGCCGAAATACCCACCCCTCTTGAGTTAGATAGGAGGCTATTTAAAATTCAATAGCAGTAAAATGGCCCTTCATCACACAGTTTTCTGATTAGATGGCAAGAGGAATTTACCGGAATCAAAGCTGTATAGAAAAAAAGTGTGAACATTTGGTAGCAGTAAAAATGAAAATGTCAAAACCATTAGTGAGTTAAACAAACCTTGGGAAAAAAATTACCATTCAAAAATTTTAGAACTAAATGTGTGTATATATATACCAGTATTAAATTAAAAATGCTTCATAGCTATGTAAAATACTATGTGCAAAATTTTGAGGTTTCAAAAATGTTGAGCAACTGAATTATTTGAACTTGTAAGTTTAAAATTTAACAAACATTTTTATTCAAATGAAATCAATTTAAAATAATAATAAAAAAATTTAAATGTGGTGGGGAATATATTTTGACTTGTTTTATTGCTGTCTTTAATAGTATTAAGCACTTATTTTAGTTGTATGGTTTAACATATAACTAGAATTTTAACCTGTTCAGCTGCGAATTAACTTTTGTTCAACTCGTTTCACAATTGGGACTATTTTTTCCTAGTCATAAGTAATATCACACCTCAAAAAATTTCCATGACAAAAATTGTTGCCATGCCCATGGCAGTTGTAAATTTTGCATGAAAAAATATTTCTTCATACTCAGTTATCAAAGATCAGTTACACATTTTTAATTAAAAACATAAGAACTATTAGATTTTTTTAAAGCTACAGGGACTCATCTCAATTTATAGTATAGTTCATAGATTTTTTCTAATAAAAAGAAACAGGTACATAGTTTAAACATTTGTCATTCTACAACTTGAAACATAACATGATTAAAACTGTTATGATAAAATTATGTATATGAAATAAGTTATTTTTTGTGTTCCAGTAGAAAAGATTGGTGTTAATTTTTTAGGCTGAGGCAACGACGAACTCTTTTTTTTTTTTTTCCAGTAATGAAAAAGTATTTTAAAAAAAGAAGAAAATAGCAAGTTTGTAATGAAGCCTTTTTGTAATTACTTTGAATATATGAATTAAATGAAACACAAATTTTGCAAGCAACAGTTTACTGGGAATATTAAAAATTTGTATTTTTAATATATGTTTAATAAGCTCTGGTTTTACTTGCTTTGAAACAGGTACGATCAGACTTTTGTTTTGAGCAATTTCGTTTTTCCTGTATTATGCTACTAGAACATGGTGCATAGCGTTTTTAAAAAATGCTTGAAGGTACTTATTTTCGATTTTGAAAGTGCTGAATTTGTTCCTATAAGTGCGAATTTTTTCTCTACGCCACATATTATGTAAAAGAGCGCTTTTCACATTGTTCTATTCAATCTTTTAACACTTCCTTCGACCACAATCCATTTTGGCTTACATTCAGTCCGTAATGTTTAAAAGTGCCAATCATTTTGCATGTTTGATAAAATACTTTGGATTCCACAGCTGCATCTACTGAGCTGGGTTGGGTGAGATTATTGCACTCACATGGGCAAAACAGCTGCATTTTGTAAGATATTCTCAATTTCAGGCTTCATTTTCCATCCTCTGAAATCGAACCGATAAATCTCTCCATTTTATAATGGCTAATATAAAAAAAAAAGAAGTGTTCTTTAGTTATTTTATCATGATCATGTAAAGTTTTTGAAAATTATTTAGCATATTGTTAATGTATATAGTGCTTAAAAGGTGCTTATTTTTTGTTGAGAAATTTGGCTATTCACCTTGTAGAATCAATAAACAGATAAGGTTATTATTTTATGTAATTTTTTTTCTGCTATTTATTTTTATGATTCTTTGCTTGCAGATACCTGTAGATTATCTATGGATGCCTGCAATCTAGCTACTTTGTTTTTAACAAAATAATTTCTTTAAAAAAAAAAAAAAAAATTAATGCTACTGGCAAACTAGGAGCATGACCTTGTTTAGAAGTTAAATCTTTGGATATAAATCTCTTATTTAATTTAGGCCACATTCTTTCGGCAATTATTTTCTTGCACTTTTCACTGTTGATCATTTATTCAAGTAGACCTAGTGAAACTCACCCAAAACATTTATTTTCTGAAGTTGGAAAGGCTAACAATTTTCTCGATTTAATTAATATGCTGACCACTATATATATTTAACTAAATTTAGTGATTACTGGTACCAATTATTGCATTGATTCTTTTGTTCACTTCATTTCTTTTGTGATGATTGACTGCTACTGAATTATATAATCTTAATTATCTTGGGTTAAAAAAAATAATAAAAACATGTTTTGAAATTATATTTAATTTAGTCATAGATTGTTACTCTAACTACTTATTGTTTTACTCCAACACCATTTTTTTCCTTTTTGTTCATTTAGTTCAACACCACTGAGATTTGAATCGTTAGGTGTTGTGCATTGTAGTAACTGTGTTTATTTTTTATATTTAAGGCTGTTACCTCTCAAATTAAAGTGTGGAGAAATCCAGCATTACTAATTAAATTAGCTTTCGAATATCAAAACACTGAAATTATTGTTGTAGAACAGTGGTTGGCAAACTTTGTTACAAAATTTCCTCGCCTGTGGTTAATCCCTTATCAAAATAACTAATATCACAAGTGGCAAAAATATCATAATTTATAATCAAGAAAATATTGACAATCTGCTAGTCATACAACAATTTTCTCAAAAATGTTACTTTTTTTTTACTTTACAATAGTTTTTAATAAAAAAAAAGGCATTTAAACAATTTTTAGATCTGATGCTACAGCAATAGATTGCAAGTTGAGCCAAATTGGGGAAATTTCTGCATCAGTATCTATTTGTGCCAACAACAATCACTATGATGTCAAAGGAATTGTGAAGGAAACTTAATTTAAAAAAAAATATATGTAGAAGTTTGCTTGCTGGTGGCTATGAGTTAAACTCTTTGAGTGGGTCCTCTTGTGATTTTTTTATTTTTAGTTTCTTGTAGATTTCTGCCCAGAAGTCTCCAAAACTGGGTTACCATTTTGGCAAAGGTACCGATACAGAAATCTTCCAACACTTGTAAACCATTTTTTTGCATGCATATTTTTCTTAAAGAAAAAAAATATAGATTCAATTCCTAAACATTACTTTGACAGTAGAATAGAAAAAAAAACCCATTAAAATATCATTAACTCAGGGCCGGTTACCCATTTGGCCAGACTAGGCCATGGCCTGGGGTCCCCAATGATTAGAAGCCCCCTTAAAAAAATTTTTTTTGAAAATAAATTTACAAAAATTAGGAAGAACAATGATTTTTAAAAAAAAAAAAATCAATTTCAAATATATATTAATAAAATATGATAATTTTTTTAGTTCTAATTTAACAAAATAAAGTAAAATTTAATTTATTATTAAATTTGCTTTCTTAAATGAAAAGATATATAAATACTTTTATAGTTGAATAAATAAAAAAAATAAGAGAAAAAAAATTTCATCTAAGGGCCTCAAAAATTTGAATGGCCTAGGCCTTAATCCGGCCCTGCATTAACTATTGTCTTAAATCCTCTATGATGGTCATAATATTTGATTCTCTGCATATTATGTTATTGTGTTCGGTTGGTGATTGAATCAATCAATCGTAATGTTTGCATACTTTTTTTTTTTATCCATTTATACAACTGGATTTTACTTATTTCTTATACTAGAGTTCTAATTTTAAAAAAATTGACTAACAATTAATAAAAGCTACTTTTAATAGGCATATCACACAATGAATACAGTTGGCATTTAATTTATGTTACATATGTACAATGATATCACTTGTGAAGTCTTATTTAAAATGTTTTGAAATAATAAACAATGAATATTGCCTTATTTAGCATTTATAAAATGAAACAATAAAAAATAAGTTTTTTACAAAAATGATAATACAATAAGACTAAGTGAATATTATTTTCTAAGAAAATATATACATATTAAACATAAATAATACAAATAACGTATGTACAATTATATAAAACACCTAATAATAGTGTCTTTGTCTTCCAAATTTCTTGAACTAATCTTTTTTTTTTTTGTATATTGATTGTTAGAAATTATTTAGATGTGAAGTTTGCCTTAGCCAGTTGAATCTTATGCAGCCAGTAGTTCTGTAAATTAAGCCTAGAATATGAAACAAAAATAAAAAATTTTAAAAGATAATTTGAACAATGATAACAATTTGTTGTAATTTTTGTAATTAATTGTTGATCATTATTAGTTAATTGACTGAGAAAAAAAAAACTATAAGTAATAAACAGGTCTATTCAAAAAGAAATCTTTCTGTAATAAGTAGTATGAAAATGACTAAACACATAGGTAAAATGTTATAAATTTTAGGTACCTACGATATCATTTTTATCTTTATCATTATATTAATCTTAACATTGAACATTAGAAAATCGAAATTATATGGATCATTCGCCAGAAAATGTGACATTTGTGTCCCTTGCCTTTATTCAATTTATTTTTCTTATTAATCATTTTTCTATGTTTAAAAAGTTATCCAATTACATATTTTAAAAGGAAAAAATTTATTATATGATTAACAGCTCAAATTGAATGTGTTAAATGTCGCTTCTTTCCCCAGTTCTTAAACTTATAGTCAGATAATCAAGGTAAATTTCCAATATAAATTCAAGATCAATCAATCAATATATATATTGTGCATGTTTTTGTAGTCATAAATTATGGTTACTAGAAATTATATAATATATTTTTCACTCGCCATTTTATGATCCCTCAGTTTGTCATAAAACCATCCCTAGTTTACTTGTTACAATTGTTCCCCACTATAAAAATAATTGCATTGGCCTCTAAAATGCCATATATTTGAACTAAATAGAAATGAATTACTTGTATAACTCCTTATTCTTCATATACGGGAAAAATATATCAAATTTTTGGAATATAAGTTAATGATTTTTACATCCAAATCAGTTAAAAAATAAAATATTTTCATTAGTTATTACCACAGTCCCACTCCTATATTTTATTTTTATAATTCAGTTTTTAAATTACAGTCGAACTCGTTTATAACGAGCACAAAGGGACCGTAACATGTACTCGTTAAAGTCGAGTGCTCGTAATAAACGGGTCCTTAAGGCAGNCAATAAAAATGGTATTATCGATATCAACTGCAATATCGGCAGTATGTCGGTATTGCAGATAAAGTTAGATAAACAAATTCGTAAATTAAAACCCATATTAATAAAAATGTAAAAAAAAAATATGCAAGAAAATTTTAGCGGGGAAAGAGGGGAGGAAGGGGGGGGGGCAAAAACGGCTATGCCTAGGGCCTACGAAAGGTATAATCCGGCTCTGTGCCTAGGGCCTACGAAAGGTATAATCCGGCCCTGCATATATTTGAACTAAATAGAAATTAATTATTTGTATAACTTCTTGTTCTTCATATACGGGAAAAATATATTAAATTTTTGGAATATAAGTTAATGATTTTTACATCCAAATCAGTTAATAAAATATTTTCATTAGTTATTACCACAGTCCCACTCCTATATTTTATTTTTATAATTCAGTTTTTAAATTACTACTAACAGCCCTTCAAAATGCTATTTTCAAAAAATATTTAAAGATGTTATTGATCTAAACTAGGCTTAGGAAAAATACTATTTTTAAACGTTTGGTCACATTTGCCCCTGTCATAACAGTCCCGTTTTTTTTTTTTTTTTTTTTTTTTTTTTTTAAATAGTAGAGATACAATGCAAGAGAGACATTAACATCAATTGGTAATTTTTTCTGTTTTTTTTTTATATGAAACATTTTCTAAATGAAAATAAATTTAGAAGGCAAGTAAAATTGAGTATTTTATGTATATTTTGTTGTATGATGAGGCACATTATATGAATTGTTTTGTAAATACAATGAAAGTTTTTTTTTTATGTGTATTGCTACAGAACTGTGCAACAGTTTCGGTTTGTACCACGGGTTACCCATCCAATTCTTCTAATTTAAATTTGGATGAGATGAAGGTTGAAACATCAGTTACTGACATATTTGATAATTTGGGGTATCCAGGAAAAAATTAACGAGGATAAACTAATAAATTTTATTAGTAGTTCTGGAAAGAGATTTTCTTTGCCCTTATAGTCAAACAAACAAGTTGCCTTTCATGCAAAATTTTTTCATTGCCCTGTCTCAACCAGATATTTTTAAACAGAGTATTTTGAATTAATGAAACCTGTGCAAGTTTTTTTATTAGAATAAAAATTTACAATGTATCATTAATAATGTAACTTGAAAATTCAATTACTTTTTTAATTAGCTCCTAGGTCACACCTGTTCCTCTTTTCCTCAGTAGTCACTAGCACTATTCCTTAATCAATGAAAAATTAAATATATGATTTTTATTTATTAAAAACCTACACTAAAAACTTTTAAAAAAAAATTTGCTTTATATGTTATTTGAGATAATGAATAAATTTATTAAATAACACCTTTTAAATAAATAAATTTCAATAAAGTATAAAATTTTTTCAGTATGTGTTTGAAAAATTTGTTATACTATTAATACTGCAAATATTTTGAAAGGAGAACTGCTGAATATTTTTGCATTGTCGAATTTTATTTTTAAAGAATTTATCCAACAAATAATAAAGAATTACTAGAGATGAAAGTAGTAACATTATTTTTTCCCCAAAGCTAACACAATTAATTGTTTCATCAAATATATGTAGGAGTATGTAGATTAATTTCATTAATAATTAGTATTTAAAAAAATACTTCAAAAATTATATTAACCACTCCTCTTGAATGTCACACTTTCTGAAGAATCACTAATGTAAACATGAAATTCGATTTCACTCACATAATACTAGTAAAAATAAAGAAACTTTTGAATTAATATATTGCTAAGTATTATTATATAATTCAGATCTATTCAAATATTTAAGAGTTTGAATAAATATTATAAATATCATAATCAAAATAACTTCATATTTTACCTCTTTGTTATTATTTCCTTTCAGGATTCACAAGAAGCATCATCAAAACTGTAATTCATTGAAGATAAGATGTTTTCAGAATAATATTTAGAATTTGGCTTCTTCTGACGATTTGATAATCTTTTAGATGGTGAGGTATCAGCATCTATGAAAAATATGTAATTGACTTTATTGCAAACTATTATTTATTGCAATTTGAACAATAACAATTAATGAACTGCGTTATTTGTCAATGGCAATAACTGTAAAAAAAATTTCACCAGCTGAAATGTAACTACTATATTAAATTTTGCTTTAATTTTTGTATAATTAACTTTTAAATTACAGGGAGTAGATTTTGAATCATGTATGTAAAAAAAATCACAAGATTACCAGGTGGGCATTGGCATTATCATGAGTAACTTAAATCAACATGCTCAAACTATTTTAAACATTATTTTTTAATGAGGCTTAGAACTAATCTATTTTTGTTACCATAATGATGTGTTGGTGCATTGAGTAAAAGGTACATAATTTACTAACTTAAATCAATATGCTTAAACTATTTTAAACATTATTTTTTAATGAGGTTTAAAACTAATCTAATTTTGTTATCATAATGATGTGTTGGTGAATTGAGTAAAAGGTACATAATTTACAAAATAAGCTAACCACAATATTACAACTTTGTGATCAAAGCTGTGACAAATTTCTATTTAGTGTTTGGTTGCTATAAAAAGTACTTTTATATCACATAGAATAAAATTCCAATTTATTCACTAAAGGTTGACTTTTAAGCTGGGATCCCAGCTGTAAAATTGCTGCAAATGTTTAAACATTAGCATAATCATTTAATATGTTCTGTATGTCCATTCATTTTTAGAACAAACTCAAAACCAGCAGCTGTTAATACGGTTTTGGATTGAGTTAAGACTGGTAAAAATATTTGTTCATTTAGATAGACATATATCAACACCATCTTCAGTAGATACAGTTAATAATTATGAAAAAAATCTGATAAATTAAAAAAAAAGAAATTAAACAATATACTAAATTTTATTTTTATAAAGATCAAAATACTTGTAAAATATTATAAACATTTACATTTTTGTGAATTTTTATTTATATGAAATTCATTCTGTAAAATTGCATCCCATCATTATTCAATTTTTTTAATAGGGAATTTTAATATATAAAAAGTAATAAAAAATTTTTAAGTTTAATTGTTCACAAATTTTAACAGGTAGTTATATGTAGTAATTATTTTTCAGATTAATTTAAATAATGGTAAAATAGACAATACTTAAAAATGTAAACAAAAAAATAAATACAAAATAAATAGATATTAATATGTTTTGTTAATATCATAGGTTTCTGATTATCCGGCCGTTTAAAAAAATTTTTGGAAGGGGGAGGCACAAATGAAGAATGCTAAATTGGTCGCCAGTACATTTTGACTCTTCCTAATCATAAACATTTTTTTTTTTGCACTTTATTAATAAACTTAAGAGAATTTTTTCTGTTAGCTAATTAGCTTAATATTATTATCTAATTAAAAGTGGATAGAAAGTGGAAATTTGTTCTATCCGGCTATTTTGTTTCCCAGCAACCCTTATGCTTAATTAAACTAGTCTGAAGCCTACTGTATTTCTTATTGTAATAATAATTTAATAGCTTAGTTACATTTGATTTTTCTTTTTTTACATAAGATATTTTTTATTTATGTCTTCATCAACTAAATATTTCCCCAACATAAAATAATTTTTTTTTTTTCAGTTTTAATATTTTTATTATATTTGATTTTAAAACGTGCATTTTTTTATTTAATTAAAATAATGCACAAAAAAAAAAGACTTTTAAAGTTTTAATGAAATTTTAACAATTCCATATTTTGTTTTCTAACAAAAAGTAATCATTTCTTATTTACTAAGCAAAATTTTTTAAAAATATTTTACCAGTTTATTTAAAAAAAACAAACTTAATCAAAGTTAGCTTTAGTTTCATGTGCCACTAGTTCTGGAGGAAAACTGTAAATGATGCTTTCAACTCTAGTTTCTTCTTTCTGTGTTACATGATACTTATGCAGATGGCAGCACAAAAGACATAAATAATTTAAAATAAAACCTATATAAATAAATTAAAAAAATCAGTGTTACATATGATTTAAGCTCTTACATTTGGTACGCATAATGTACCACAACTAAATGTTTAATTGGCTGGAATACAAATCACAATGCTTATAGTGCGGCTTTCAGGAGAACTCCTCCAGACAACTGCGAGAATGGTTACGAGAAAAAGAACACTTCAAATAGGGTTGTAGGGTGAATAATTTTATCTTAATCATGGCATAGGTCGTCATGAGTAACTCCATTTCACCCCCATTAGAAATGTGCTCTTACTTGTTACCATAGTAGCAGACAGTCCCAAACTTTTAGTCTGGAGGAGTTCTCCTCAAAGCCGCGCTATACATGCGTAAGTCGCAAAAATACAACCGCGATGTTTGATTAGCAAAACGCAATAATGTGATTTTAAATAATGATGGAATAAATCACAATATATGATTCGTAAATCACGTTAACAAGACTGCGGTTAGTGAATTTGCAAATCATCCAATTCTGATCACAATCAGATATATGTAAAAATCAGAATATGAATTGCGATTTGAAAATCAAGTCATTCACCGTCGGTCGGAAGTGCGTGAACCGCATTTAGTTGGATTTTTTCTTTTTAAAGTGTTTCTATGATTTAATTTCCAGGCATTCATATTCTAAATAATGTAAAAACATTGTAACAATATAAAATGTTACTTTTGGAAGAAAAATTAATAAAATTCTACAGAATTGTGATTTTTTAAACTCAGCGAAGACTTTAGTTTATAAACAACAGCTTAAATTAAATTTGGACTTTCAAACAATTTGATACTTTAAAATACGATTTCATGGTTAAAGATCACAAATATTCTGCTTATTTTCAGCAATTAGTTTATTTCCAAACTAATTAAAATTATGTGTTTTATATTCCAAAATAATAAAAGTTAAGTTTTCAGATTTGCGTTTCAGTAAGTAAATAACACGTATTCGGGATAAAAGATTTACAGAGGATGAAAATCGTACTTTCGCGTAAATGCGATATGCAAATCAATAAATTTTTTGTGCTCGATTGATCGTTACCGAAAATACAAATTTAATGCAACAATTTATGCATTCAATTTGGGGACTAGCAGCATTTATTTAATTCAACAACAGATGCGTTGAATTTGAGGAGAAAAAACATTTATGCAACACATAAAATGCATTTGTGATTACTCCAAAATTTGCAGAAATCCAATTTATTGGTTGCAAACTCAAATTCTGAGCACGATTCAATCGTTCAAATATTTGCATTCTTGCAAATATTTGCATAATTTGTGAATCTTGCATAATTTGTGAATCTTATAGTGGGAGGTAAAAAATCACATTTTGTGATTCAGAATATATTGTCTATTTTCCCACAGTAAATTAAAAATATACACTACTCAGGTTTAAAAATATATGTTCCCAGCAAACTTGCAGACATATTTAGCATGGATTTTAACAAAATAATTTTGCCAAGCAAACTACTATTTCATTGGAAACAGTTAATTTAAAATTCGTTACCATAGTAAAGTTTTCACTTACATAAATATGAATTTAAAGAATATAGTTGGATTTTTTTTTTAAATGATCCGAATTTTTAAAATTATTTTTTGCTTTCTAACAGAATCACAATCCCCTTTTCAGGGGCATCTAAACAAAGAGTTTGCCTGATGCATCCACATATCTCAGTGTTTTCACTACAACGCGAGAATCTCACATATTTTTTTCTTTTCTCGCAATAAAAAATGATTAATGCAAGAAGTTTGCGCACTCTATTAATCAATTTCAAAATGCACGAGTTTTGGAAAAAAATTCATCTTTTGCCATTTTGAATAAAATGCGTTTCACTTTTCCTCCTTGATCTTTCATTATTTTGAACATCGGTCCTTGTTATCTAGCTTCCCTATTTATCAGTATTGTTCAGAACCGGTGCGAACAGCAGAACACCACCACCCCGAACCACGGAACCCCTTTCTCTGCAACCATGTGTTCACCGTAGGTAAGGTTTCTTCATGTAAGACGTTTACATTTTTTGTGCATGAATGTAAGATGGACAAATACCTTGTTAAGGCGAAATTTTCTACTTCGTAACAGACAAATGAAAATGAAACAAATGTCGGTAGAAACGGTCAAAATGAAACAAATGTCGGTAGAAATTGTCAAAACGAAACAAATACGGATATTTTTCAGCAAAATAAATATAATAGCCGATGAAAAAGTAGATATAGAACATTTTCCATATGATGATGCAGCGAAAATATTCAATTAGAAGATGGGAAAAATGTATTATAATTAAAGAAATAATTTTTTTTTCAAGTCTATTCCTGTTTTTGAAATTTTTAAAAATCTCACTTAACTTTTTGAAATCTCACCCTGTTTTTTAGAAAGGGTGAGAAATTCTCTCCCATTTTTTTTCTGTAATGAATACACTGTATCTGTACCACTGAAATCTATACTGTACAGTGATCTGTACACGTCACTCACTGTTTTTAAAGATTTTTATTTGCACTATCTAAATTAAAAATCAGACTTAAAATTACTGAAGTTATAATTTTGAAAGAAAAAAAGGCATTGAAAGTTTACCCAGGTCCATATATAGAGAATTTTTGATTAATTATTTCTTTTCTACCATAACATAGTTTTCAAGATTAATATTTTTAAATAATGAAAAATAAAAAGAATTTTTTTTTTTAATCTTGAAAATTTTGTTTTTGAAACAGTCATATTTGACTTTTTTAGTGTGTTTTTAAACAGTTAATAATGAAGGGTACTCAGACATAGAAGGATCTTGCATCTTCCATAATGCATAAGTGCTGTATTATTATTAAAGAAGTTTTACATTTTTTATTACACGCTCTGATCTATCTTCGATCAGAACCAACACTGCAGGAGCTATGTCTTGGAAACAGTTGTGGTTGCATTGTATTGTTCTATTTAAGACAAAAGAAAAGCGAAGAGGGTAAAAAAAGTTTGAAAATTTTATAATAATTTTTTATTATATGATATTTTTTAAAGAAAAAAAAACACTCCTCAGTGAATGATTAATCATATTGTTGCTGCTTATTCTTGCTTTCCTCATTTATTTTAACAGTTTCAGTGACAATAATTAGAAAAACTGCATGTTAATGCTTACGTGGTAGGGTGATTTATCAATTAAATAGAAGAAAGATGTAAATTCATAGACATTTTCTAACTTTGAATAAAAATACTAAAAATTTTGGGAACAAGCAAAAATTTAAATATTTTTTAGTTGTACTCTAACCACGTAAGAAATAGAAATTTACCCATAAACAGAATAAAACAAAATTATTGCTTGTCAGGCATTTTTTTAATAACCTTGCCTTATTTATTTCATTATTTTGTTATCTGACATTTCATTGATTGGCCAATAGTTAAACCCTGAATTTGAAAGCACACAGACCTTCGTCTGAATTTAAAAGCAATTGTATACGTATTCAGATTTCTCTCATTAATTATATATTTTAGAATTATACCTAATTTCTGACAGTTAAAAATTTAGCATTTGAAAATATCTGCTGCTTGTATAAATAAAACATTATTACTTGATACTTTAATACAAAACATTATGCAACTACATTTTTACATGAATTTGATTATCTATCCTTGCATAAACCATTTAAAATGGGAAACATTTTGTTTTTTCAAACATACAATTGGCCAAATAGTTTCACATTCGACCAACGGAGCTAAACTGAAGTAGTGGATATTGGCAATGGTCTAGGAAACATCACTAAGGATGATCCGAAAACGTGCCATGAAACGTTGAACATCTGCTGAGGGGATGCCTCCCCTTCTTTGGTCGCCTGAAGACCTGCGTGTGAAGTAAAGCATTTAATGGTATATTACAGTTTAACAATGACCTGCTGTGACCCCTCTGTTCCTTTTTTAAATTTACTGGACACAGAGTCTTAAGAACAGTCCAGTGTGAAACAGAGTCAAACGGAAAGGAAACCAAATATTCTATGCTTTTCTATTGTAAAAATTTTATTAAATTATTTTTTGTATTAGTAGATTTTTATAGTAATAGATTTTTTTTAAGAATTAAAATATAGTTTTTTTAAAAATGAATTAGCATCTATTTACCCACAATTCTATTGAAATGAAACTGAAATTTTTCAAAAACATTTGCTATATTTTCAAGTTATCAATTTTAACGAAACTAAAATATTTAAGTGGTAGACATATTATTTATGAACAAACATATTAAATTTCAAGGTTTAAAAATTGTCTAATGACTTGTGTTGCAAATAGTTTTCATTATAGTATTTAAACATAAAAATGACTAAAAAATTTAATTCATGGCCCAATTTGCAGATTACATGAATATAGCATTAATAGAAAATACATTATATATAATTATAATGTAATTTAATATAATATAATTAAATTAATAGATAAGCATAAAGACAGTAGAGAAAAAAGCAAAAATATTTTTTTATTCCTTGGAAATAGCTATTAAATTCTAAAAACACATAGCAAATTTTAGATGTATGTATATAACAAATGAATTATCACTAATTTAAACATGATTTTTAAAATAAATTTTTATAATATGATGCACAGAAAGAATATTTGTAATTAAGCATTCAGAGAAAAATGTTAAATAAATATATACAGAGGTAATTTAATATACATGTCAGTAAAAAAGAGAGAGAGAGAAACAGATTTTTAATGAAAATTTTTTAGTTGAATGCAATCTTTTATAATTGTTTTATGTACAGAGTATCAAATAAAGATCATTATATTCATTTGATTTGGCTAAAAAATGACATTAATAACAATTAAATGGAGTTTATAACATTTTCAAAAGTGTAATTATAAAAAATCAAATTTTTTATTGAAATATAAAATTATTATCTTAAAATCAGTGTTAAATTTTTTTTATCACGTATCATATCATTATATCATGAAGTTTTTTATTGATCATAATCTTTAATTATGAGCTTGGCCTTTTTAACACAAATTTATTAATTACACTTTCTCTAAAAATAAAGTATATCTTTATACAAATTTTTAAAAGAATGAAGCCACTTCCGGTTATAGTTGCAATCAGTTTCTAATTTTAACTCAGAATGAAAAATCTTTGCTTGATTCCTCAACACAGTACCAGGAACAGAAATACCTTCTCTGGTACATTGTTGAACCCATTCAATGAGTGACTTATCAACAGAATGGTTTGGTGTCATTATCTCGCTTTGTTTAGTACCTTCCGCACAATATTTTCTTGCTTCTTTTCTTCGCTGTTTCATGTCATAAATAGTAGATCGACCCACACCATACAGCAAAGAGAGGCTTTTTGCAGAAATACCCAGATCAATTTGTTTAAAAACTTCAAGCTTGTCAGAAGCAGATAAAACCCGTTTAGGTCTAACGGGAGCTTTGTCAGTTAATTTTGAACTATCACATTCACTCAAAGTATTGATTTCATGAGTATCTTTACTTGGATCATAAACTTCTGTATTTTTGAATATCGTAGCTTTTTCATTTGTATTTCCTAAAACAGTACTGCTTACTAAATTGATTGGGGAGCATAGCTCTTCTATACTTTTCTTCTCAAATAAATCAGAAAATGGTAATTCTACTTTAAAATTTTCAGAAAGACTTTCTACAGATAAAATTTGAGGTAGGTTGTCATTGAATGTTTCTTCAGGATCTAGATTATTCTTACATTTTTGCGACTTTTTAAAGAAATGTCTTTCTAAAGCAGGAATTTCACATAATATTTTTCTATACTTATTTTTAAAATGTTGAAGCCATGTCTTATTTAAATGCTTACAACTAGTCTTTAGTTTCAACTGAGAATGGAGCAATTTTGCTTGTTTTATTAACATAGCACCAGAAATAGAAACTCCTTCACCACCACACTTCTGGCACCATTCAATGAGTGCTTTATCCACAGAAATGTTTGATGATGACAAATTTTCTTCAGTCACTTCTGTCTTAATTTTTCCATAATACTTTCGTACCTTAGCTCTCCGTTGTTTCATATCATAAATTGTAGACGTACCAACACCATACTGCATAGAAAGGTTTTTCACAGAAATACCCATGTCAATTTTTTTCAAAATATCAAGCTTATCATATACAGATAAAATACTATGTCTACGTTTAATAGAATCTTCATCAGTTAATTTCAAATTGTCACATTTAAGTAAAGTATTGATTTCATGAGTATTTTTGTTTATATCAAGATCATCTGTACTCTTGGATAGTACAGTTTCTTTATTTCTATTGTCTAAAATTTCACTGCTTACTAAATCATATGGAGATAAGTTTTCAACATATAAAATCTGAGGTTCCAATTTTGTTTTGCTGTTATTAATGGTCGTTTCTTCAGTAGCAAAAACCAAATTATTCCTGCATTGTTCTGATTTTTTAAAGAATAGCCTTTCTAAAGCCGGAATTTTGGATAATATATTTCTATATTGATATTTAAAATGAGGAAGCCATTTTTTCTTTGTATATTTACAAACTGTTCCTAGTTTTAATTGGGAATGAAGTAACTTTGCTTGTTTCACTAACATAGCACCAGAGATAGAAATTCCTTCTTCACCACATTGTTCACACCATTCAATAAGTGCTTTATCCACAGTATTGTTTGATAATTTTAATACACTTTCTTTAACTATCATTCGATTAGAACATTTACTTAAATATTTTTTTGCATTTACCCTCTGTATTTTCATATCATATATTGTAGAGAATCCCACACCATATTGTTCACAAAGAGTTTTGACTGCTATGCCTTCATCAAGCTTTTTAAAAATTTCAAGCTTTTGAGAAATACTCAAAATTTTATGCTTACGTTTACCAGTTTTCTTTTCATTAGATGGACTCGTATTTTTTCCTGTAGCAGTTTCAGGAATTTCACTTTCAGCTAAACCATCTGAAGAATATGCTATGTTTGTTTCCTGAAATTGTAAAACTGAATTTTCACAAAGGTTTTCTACAGAGGATATTTGCGGCAAACACTCCATTTTGTGGCCATCAATAATAGTCTGTTTTATATTGGAGACAATATTGTTTTTATCTTTCTTAGAATTAAATAAAGTCATTACGTCTATAAGCCTAACTTCACATTTCATTAAAGATTCTTTAAGCTTACTATTCTTTGCATAATCTTCTTCATCACATTTTTCAATCTTATTTTCATTATCCTCTTTTAGTGTAGATGCTTTATGCTTTGGGACATGCTTCTGCGTTAAATTAAGCAAAATTTTATTTTGACGTTTGAAACAAAATAGCCATTTGTTGTTATATTTGGGCTCAGTCTTCAGTTTTAATTGAGAATGAAGTAATTTTGCTTGTTTGATCCACATATGTCTAGATACAAAGATATTATTTTTTCTACATTGTTTAAACCACTCTATAAGGGCCTTATCAAAAGCTGGGTTCGTTCTCTTTTGCATAGCTTTTTTAGCTATCATTCCTTCAGGAAATTCACTATAATATTTTCGTAGTTCTTCTTTTTGCTTTATTATATTATATATTGACCATTCTTTAATGGCATATTCCTTAGAAAGAGCCTTTACAGAAATACCAGAATCGAGTTTTTCCAAAATTTCTATCTTATATGCAATCGGTACAGTAACATACTTTTTTTTAATATTTGATTGCATCATTGTTTTTGTTTGAACAACTGCAGTCAAAGGTGGTCCTACCTCTAATTCCTTTAAAGGTGTTTTGTCTGAAACAGGAAGTTCACATTCAATTAATGATTCATTAGATTCACTAATTTTTCTATCACATTCTTTATCATATCTTTGAGTTTCCACATTAATTTCATTATTTTCTAAAAATTTATCTTGTTCAAGGACCGATTCTTGGATAGGATGAAAGAAGATTCTATTTAGGTCCTTGAAACGAAAAAGCCATTTATCATCATATTTGCACTCAGTTTTTAACTTTAATTGAGAATGAAGTAATTCCGCTTGTTTCATCCACATATGATTAGATACAACAATGCCATCTTTGTTACATTGCTTAAACCACTCTATAAGTGCCTTATCTAAAGCAGGACTTGTTCTTTTGCCCATGAATTTCCTAACTATCATTCCATCAGGAAATTCACTATAATATTTTCTAAGTTTTTCTTTATGTTTTTTCATATCATATATTGTACGCTCTCCGATGTTATATTCTTCAGCAAGGGTTTTTACAGAAATACCATTATCATATTTTCTCAAAATTTCTATCTTATCTGCAATAGGTAGAGTAATACGACTGTTTTTACCATTACCATTACATTTTTCAAATTTAAAAGTTTTTTCATCGAATTTTCTTTCATCCAAATATTTTTTTGCCATTCCTATATGATTTGAGATATCTGTAAAACTAAACAAAGCTCTATTTCGTCTTTTGAAGTGACGAAGCCATAGATTGTTATATCTGCAGACCCTTTTCAATTTTAATTGAGAATGAAGTAAATTTGCCTTTTTTATCCACATATGATTAGATACAAAAATACCTTTCTTCCTGCACTCTTTAAACCATTTTATTAGAGCATTATCCAAAGCAAGAGTCATTTTTTTATGCATAAACTTTCTAACTGTTACTCCTTCAGGGTATTCACTGTAACATTTTCTTATCTCTTCCTTTTGCTTTTTTATATCATATATTGTACGCTCACCAATGTTATATTCTTTAGCAAGAGTTTTCACGGAAATACCATTCTCATATTTTTTTAAAATTTCTATCTTATCTGCAATAGGTAGAATAACATACTTGTTTTTAACATTAGATTGCACTGTTGACTTGGATTGAATATCTGCAGTCAAATGTGATCCTACTTTTGATTCCTTCAAAGAGGTTTCACCTGAAATAGGAAGTTTAGAATCAACCAATTTTTTAGGTTTACAAATTTTTCCATCACTATTTTCTTCACATTTTGTTTCATTCATATTCACATATTTTTATGCTATTCCTATATGATTCGGGATATGTTTCTCTGTACAGTTCAACAAAGTTTTATTTCGACCTTTAAAATGACGAAACCATATACTGTTATAACTGCAAACCTTTTTTAATTTTAGTTGAGAATGAAGTAAATTTGCTTTTTTTTTATCCACATATGCTTAGGTGTACAAAAATACTTCTTTCCTGCACTTTTATATCATTCAATAAGTGCATAATCAAAAGCAAGATATTTTTTCATGCATAAACTTTCCAAGCGTTTTTCCTCCAGGATATTCACTGTATTGTTTTCTTATCTTTTGCTTTTTTATATCATATATAGTACTTTCTCCAATTTTATATACTTTTGCAAGAGTCTTCACAGAAATACCATTCTCATATTTTTTCAAAATTTCTATCTTATCAGCAATAGGTAGAATGTAATTAAAATTTTACCAAATCTTTAAATTTTAATCTAAAAAAATTACATTAACAAAATTACTCATTGTTTAATTTAAGTATCAACTTCTCTTTATTAGTATAAGGAACTGATTTTTAACAATATGATTTTTTTACGCCTTATTGTGTGTAAAAATATAAAATTAGCGAAAAATTTGAGCATGTAACTGCAATGTTGAATATTTAAAACTAATGTGAATACATAATATTGTTATATACAAATTACTAGAGAAAAAATTTTATGATTAAATATTGGGAAACAAAATTTACCTGTATTTTCCTCAATACATCTTTTTCTGTTTCTCTTATTTGGAGTTGAAGAGTAAATAATGTGAGATCCATTTTGCTTAGACAAAGAAGTTTCAGAATATTTCATTTCTTCATTATCAGAAATTTTCATCTCTAATTCTTCAATAACAGCTTTTGAGGTAGCATATATATCATTTTGAAGAGCAAGAAGTTTCTCATGAAGTGTTTTAGTTAAAGTAGAAGCTATGCAGTCAGATAAATATCCAACACTGAAAAAATAAATTAATAATAAATAAACAAATAAATGAAACATTGTAGAAAACTGAAAACATATTAAAAACTTTGAGCTTCTGCCTTCTTAAACAAAACAAACTTAAGACATTTAATTAAAAAAAAATCAAGTTATGTTTTACCAATAAATAGTAGTACTTGGAAGAAAAAAAATTTTTTTTTAACCATTCCATTAGCTAATTTTCAAGGTTAAATTGAAACTGCTTAGTCAACTGAAGTTGCTGAAAAGTGATGAAACCAAAACTAATAAATGCATTTTAGCAATACTGTTTCAAAAATAGCAGCACTGCGAAATAAAATGTTAAATATAGAAAGGTTCAATTGATTCTATTCTTTAATTCAAAACAATATTAAATCTTAATGGTAGCCATATGAAACAGGTTATTTTGCTTGCTTTTGAATATTACTGATGATGTACATAATATTCTAAATCAGTTATGCAGGTACAAAGTGAATGATGCATTGAAGTTATCTACAGAACTCTTTCACATTTCTAAGCCCATTTAATTGGTTAATTAAAAAAATGCTTTAAAAAATAAATAGATATAGAATAAAAAAAATTTAGATCACCAGGCTCCCTTCTCTGTCTGAACATGAAGGAGAACACAAGACAAAATGTTATTACAAAGCAAAAAATTATTTTCTATAGGAGAGGGTGGCTCCCCTTGGGACATTTTTATTTTTGGTCTTATATTTCAAATTATCTTTTGGTTTTTTTAGATTCAGATATATGTCAGTATCACCTAACCTTGGAACATATTTTGAATTTATTGATTAGGCAGGTAAGAATTTATTCGAATTTTTATTTTTCGAAGCATGTTTATTCATTTTTATATAAAAGTTAAATTAGTTGTAGAAATAAATTTTAATAAAATTTTTTTTAATAATGGGTAATATAATGAAGTATAAAGCTTTCCCTTTAGAAGTTATCAAATTTAATTGTTCCAATGCTAAGCCTAAAAGTATGATATTTTAAAATATCCTATTAGGTATGTAGTGCACCTTGGGACACTAAATATGCATAATTAATCCTTATTAAAAATAGATTTTTAACAAAAAGACATTGTGCATGCAAAGTATTTTTTAATTTATTTAATCTGTGTTTATTAAATAGTTATTATTTCTTATTTTAGGAACTCATTAGACTTAACTAATCACAAGAATTGGAAGCAAAAAGTATAAAAATAATCCAGCAATTTGTGCTAACAATGTTGAAAAAGCAGCTGCAAATTTTATCAAGGGAAATGACTTGAAAGAAAGCTGTGGAATTCTACAGTATTAGTAAGACCACTCTGAACCGCAATTTTATTTCTTTAAAAAAAAAAAGAGAGCAGCAAAATTCTAAATTTATATATATTTTAAATATACTGAGTCGCAAAATATTCACAGATGAGGAAGAAACAAATTTCGTACACTATATGTTACAAGCCTCCAAGTACCATTCAGGATGAACAATATGTGATGCACATGCACTTATATATGAGTGTGGTTCGCCAAACCAAATGAACATTCCTCCAAACTGGGAGAATGTAAAAAAAAAATCTGGGAATATGAGGATTTAATGCTCTCAGAATTAGTGAGAAATACATCCAGAAGAAAACTAGTAATTAGTGATTTATGCAATAATAACAGTGATGATGATGATTGCAGCTTAAATGAAATGAACAGTGAAAGTGACAACAAAATATTTGACAATAAGAAAAAAGTACATCTAGAAAAAGTAATGAAACAAGATTACATATTGGAGATTTTGCTCACATCAAATTAGCTGGTAAAAGATCTGTTTTTTGCCTTCGTAGGATGCGTTGAAAGAGTTGATGTAGATGAGTAAGAGTTATCAGTTTTGAGATGAGTGAATCAATCTGCAACATTTATTTGTCTCAAAAAAGAAGACAACTCTTACATAGATTCAAATTATATTTTGCTAAAACTTAAGCAGAGCAAAGCTTTGAACGTTCTTTAGGTTTGTTATTTGATTCTGAACAGTTGGATTTGCATACAAGAAGTTGAAACTAACAGAATAAAACTTTATAAACAAAATTAAAAAATTTAAATTTATTTAGTTATACTTATTTAGTTTTGTTAGAGAATTTCTACTTAACTTTTCACATCTTTTTAACTGTCCCAAGGTGCACCATTGGGAGGTACACCTCGGGATAAATAACAAGGTCACTAAAAAAATTTAAAATTTTTTTTTTTATGACAGATACAAAATCAAAACCTAGTTAAAAATCTTTTCAAATGTTATCATTTTCATTCAAATGTTATCATTTCAAATGTTATCATTCAAATGTTATCTTTTCAAATGTTATCATCACAACATTATCATTTTCTTTAATTCAAGAATAAAAAATGCCATTGCAAAGGCAAAAAATTATATTTATCAATCGATGTGAAAGATTAAAAGAGAGAAGAACTAAAAACTGTTCAGATAGTTTTTCTCTAAATTACACCAGTAAATAACAACAGTGATATTTAAAAATAGAATCATTTTGTTTTTATTTACGAATTACTACCTTTAAATTTAAGGTGAATATTTATGTTCTCAATGTAGCAAGGTCAGACTCGTGTTCTTAGCTAGTTTGAGATGAGTTAATGGAATATACTGTAAAAGTAAATAATGTTATAGGAAGAAAAAAAAATACTTACTCATAAGTTTGTTTCTTTTTTCTTTCAATAGGTTCGTCATTTTTACCAGTCTCAATAGATGCAAAATGACAAATAGCAATTTCTTTTAAATCTGTATAAGCCGTCTAAAACCGAAACACATTAATTAGTTCATAATTAAACAAACAATAATGAACAATTATTAATGCAGTGCATGCAACATCGAGAAGTTTGATTAAAAAAATTATGCTCTATTAGTTGACACTTTCTTTCTTTTTTAAGACTTGAATACCCCCAAAATTTAAACGTATACAGTGTTTTCACTACAGCGCGAGAATCTCGCATATTTTTTTCTTTCCTCACATTAAAAAATTATTAACGCGAGATGTTCGCGCACCCTATTAATGAATTTCAAAAAGCATGAATCTCGCAAATTTTGGGAAAAATTTCGTCTTCCGCCATTTCTAATGAAATCCGCTTCGTTTTTCTTCCTTGATCTTTCATTATTTTCAATATTGGTCCTTGTTATTTAGCTTCCCCATTTACCAGTATTGTTCAGAAACAGAACACCCCCCCCCCAAACCTCTTTCAGAATACATTTTTCTGCAACCATGTTTTCACCGTAAGTAAGGTTTCTTCATGTGAAACGTTTACATTTTTTGTGCCTGAATGTAAGATGGACAAATACATTGTTAAGACAAATGTCGGTAGAAAAGGTAAAAACGAAACAAATACAGATATTCAAAGTGTGTGCACAATGCTACAAATTTACTTAATGTTTTTGAATAATTCAGCATCTGTTGCAAGGTCATTTAGCATCCAAAACCGTATTAAGACAAAATATCATAACAGATTGACTGATAAGCAGTTCAGCAACCTAATGAGAATAGCTGATGTAAAAGTAGATATAGAACATTCTTCACATGATGATGCAGCAAAAATATTTAATGCTTTAAAAATTAGAAAAAATGTATTATAATTAAAGAAATATTTGTTTTCCAAGTCTATTCGTTTTTTTGTTGTTGAAATTTTTAGAAATCTCATGTAATTTTTTGAAATTTCACCCTGTTTTTGAGAAAGGGTGAGAAAATCTCACCCATTTTTTTTTTCTGTAATGAAAACACTGGTATATGAGTTTGTTCTATGTGATGTACCTATTATTTTATTTACTCCACTGCTACTGTCCAGAACTCTACCACTATAATTCTAGGTCCTCAAAAAAAAAAAACTGTTCGCCATACACCTTTGCTAATAACACAGTTACTAATATGAGAATACCTGGGTCTAATTAGAAAAAAATACCATTAAAATTCGCATTTTTAACAAAAAATTGTTAGACTTTTATAAATATTCAAATTTTTTCTCCCTCTTTAGAAAACAAAAGCATTTCCCCCCCCCTTTTTTTCCTAACACCTGAAAGTAAAGAAAATAAAAAAAACTTGTTAATATAATTACAGAATTTTTTATATCTTGTAACATTCCATTGAGTAATTTATCAACAAATTTTCGGGATTCCAGCACTTCATATACATCAATAGGATTTATTTCAGTCAGCGATACAGAACTCTCGGGTTCCATTTTCGAATCTGTAAAACAATAACCTAAGCACGAATTGAAAACTCGAATTATATAAAATTATTATAAACAAATACTGAACTCATAATTTTGTTTAAATATAGTTAAAAAAAGCTTTTTCTTATTTAGTTAAGTAAGTTCTTACTGCTTATTTCTACCCGACAATAGACAAAAATTTTTAATTTTTCGAGTTCTAAAATTTAAGGCGGATTGTCACCGTCTAAAATTTAACATGAAATGACACGCAAAAGCAGTGCACACGCGTCTGGTGCAATCGAATGAGTTGAAATTGACCTTATGGGCCGTTCACACTGTACTCAGTTGAACTAGTTGCTTATGCCTTCTGCATTGCTCTTTATAAACAACATTTCGTATTTTAAGAGCAAATGAGAAAGGAAAAAATCATGTACCAGCTCAATGCTCCCTTTAGTAAACCTGCAATCTTCGGCACCATTGCTCTTGATCGGTAAAGTCTTCATCAACTATGGTTTGCACCGGGGTTCGAATAGAGCCTTTAATCGAAATGCACTTTCTCTGATCGTATGTTAGTGGTTCAAGATCCACTTTATCGTAATCCTCGGTTCTTTCAAGTAACACGGTCCGAAAGCTGGATAATTAGGAGCAAACCATCATCTGCCCTCCAATTTAAATTTTGAGAAAATTGTGCATCCATGCGACGGTATTGTCCTTGTCTTCAAATCATCAAAGCTGTCAGCCAATCATCGAAGTAGAATTAAAGCTGCTTTATAAATGAATTATGTAATGAATGATAATAAATATGATTATAATAATTGTATCAACATGGTAAAAAAGGTTAAAATTTTGACTCAATTAAGAAAATTTACATGGAGTTGGTGTGGATTAGTTCACAGCAATATTAAAATCGTATTTCAGGCTTACGATTTTCTTTAAAAAAAAAAAAAAAAAAATTTTTTTCTTATNGAGAATTTTTTTTTTTTTTTTTATAAAATTGACGAAATGAGTCAACCACGTATTACTACAAGGATCTTTGTGTATATTTTTGCTGCAAATGAATAAAATAATTTGCATTATAGTTTTTTTTAAAAAAACAAACTGTTCTTTATGTTACCAATAGTTCTAAGAGAAACGTAATTCCCTATTCTTGAACTTTTTATTTTACTTAGAATCGAAAAGCTTCATGAGAAATAAATGTTAAATCTTTTATAAATTATATCTTTTTCATAATTTATTCTATACATTGTTATTGAAAATATTGGTTTAAAACTTAGCAAATTATTTTTAACTTTTTGAAGCAGATGGGACACCAATATCTCTTTAATATATTCTTTTTCTGACGCTTTAATTACAAACAAAAATATATTTTGGGTGTTTTTTAATTATAAAAAAGACTCAGTTACTAAAAACAATCTGTTAGACTATCGGAATTATATTCGCACTAAAATATAAAATCCCCCCCCCCAAAAAAATCAGCACAAGCTTTTTTATTTGCTGTGCTTCTACTTAAATTAATTCTTAGGCCTTCAAATTACTTATGCAGTTAATTGAGGATGCATTTCCTAAATATAGTTCAATTTTTAAATTCTAAAAAAATTTAAAAAATACATTTACGATATGGTGTTGGTGACAACTTATAGTTCTTACTTTAATTTTAAAAATTCACGCCAAAACTATCAAACAAGTTGTGTACATTTTCACTACACATTATTTTGCTTTTACTGGGCCCAAAATTTATTAATTTTGCTATCACCTTTTCATGATAAAAACAGTGGTTCATCACTGTCTCATACTTGATGAGATAGTGAAAATTGGTCAGTATGTACTTCGTATTTATATTAAAATAACAAATGCAAATTATATTTCTGAAATTCAGTAAGAAATTTAGAAATACTAGTTATTTATTTCTTAATAATAGATGCAATAAATAAGTTTATTAAAAAAAAAATACACACACAAAGATTAAGAAATTGCACTATAAAATTTATTGGTACAGCAATATGTTGTAAACAGGTTTTCATTATGAGCAAAGATATGTACAAGTGTACATGAATACTTGAAAACACATTCAACAGGTATAGAATTTTCAAAAGAACAAGCATATAGTACAAAAGGTGTAAATATTATTTAACAAAAAAACTAACAGATATTCACACAAATGCTAAGCGAAAAATTAAATTACAGTGAGATTCAACAAGTTAGATATTTTGGCAAAAGTTTTCAACAGTTAAAAGGATGACTTAGATACGCTACTCAATATACAGTATACATATGTTCAATGTAATATGACAATTTCAATCATATAACTTTAAGCTTTGAAAAGATGCTTATCCAAAATATAAAAGCTAATCTTGTGCAAATACATTTTACTCTTAAAAATATTTGTTTTTTTAATATAAAATTTCTTTTTTAAAAAGACATTTAGGTTGCAACATACTGAGCCAACTATTCTGAGAAAATAGATTTCATATAGTTGTTGAAAATTTAAAATGAATACCAATACTTTTTTGAGTAACATACATAATGCAAATGTAGACTTTAAAAACAATGAAGTAAAAAAAAAAGTAGATTAGAACAAATTAATAAGATAAAAAATGCATAACATTAAAAATAGTTAATTTATATTAATTTCTGGTAAAACATTAAAAAGAAAACTTGGAAAAATGTCTATTTAAAAGATCAGTTAAGTGAAAACATAAACACTATCATACAGTTTCGTAGCAGACATTGCATAACATTGAATCTCATATACTTGGAACAAACATGAAAGCCCAAGTCAAAATAATATAATAACCCAAAAAACAATTTTTCCACTTTGAAGTTCCAGCCAATTTTTTTTAAAATAACTTTTTTGTTTTAAAAACAATACAAAAACTTCAATTCATCATCAAAATAATATTGAACTTGATTACAATAAAAGATATTCATCAAATTGATCATCAAAGAAACACTCTTTCTCAGAAACTTGTCTTTGATTATTAACAAACTGCTGGATACTTTCAAGCTCTTCCGCTTTCAACGCATATCCAAACATAGGATGCTTTCTTGAATGAGCTAATCTAAAAAATATTAGTATAGGAATGAATAAAATTTAAAGTAATTTTCATTTTTAAAAAGTTACTTAGCTTGAAAATAAATCCACGATTAGATATTTAAAAAGAGAAAAGTATAAATTTACTTACTTTGAAAAGCTGTCATCTAAATTTTGATCATTTTCAAACCCCTAAAAATGAAAAAAATATAGTTAATAAAATAACAAAAATAAGAGCTCTCTATAATCTTTTAAATCTAAAATAAATATTATAAAATCGAAAGTCTGCATACAAATATATGACAACTCAAGAATGTCTGTGCATACGAGTCTTTTTGTTAACAAATATTGCATAACACTGGAGTGGTTAATGTATAATTGCCTTTTTCAGCAAACAAGTAAAGCAGCAAAGAGTAGTTTTAGTACAATGTATAAAAAATGACGCAAATTTAACTTTTCTAATTATAGAATGTCTTCACTGACTGATGTAGCATTCTTTTCTTACCAACTAGCTCACAACTTTTTCCTGTTACATTAAATTGCAATATTTAAAAGACATGTTTTTATTTCAAAAAGTAAAGTTAAAGAAAGAGCATTTTTACAAGATGCATTATAAAAAGAAGCAGAGAAATCCTACAAAAAAACTGAAGTATTAGATTAGAACTCTCTAAACTCAAAGATCAATTTTGATATTTTCAAAAAATTTAAAATGCAATTTATTTATTTATTTTTTTTTTTAAAGATTTGGATAAGGAAATCACATTTTAATAGCCTCAATGATTACAGATGTGGGAAATATATGCTAAGATAGTTAAAAGCTTTTCCCTTTATTCAATTTTAAAATGTATACAAAAATAAGATTTTTTTGTCCAGGCTTTAGATTTTTTTTAAAAATTTATGGCAAAAAACTATACTGAAAAAAAAAAAAATTAAAAAATTGATTAGTGAATGATTTGAAAAAATTAAATCATTAAAGCTAGTATTCCAGTTGACGTATATAAGTTGCCATATCCAGTTGACGTCCTAATATTCCAGTTGAGAAAAGAGTATCACTACTGAACATTTTTATGGATTAAAAAATTAGTGATTTTTTTGCAAGATGGAAATTTATTGTTGTTTGGAAGATTGGCTCCCTTGAGCTCTAAGCAATCACTCCATCCTCAGCTGTAAACATTAAAGTGATTGCTTTAAAAAAAATATTTTCTCCTTCAGAAAAAATTGTCCAAAATTAAGTTTTAAACACACAAATTTTTTACTTACTGTTGATAACAAATAATTGAGAATCTGCAGTATACACAATATACTTTTTATGTTATACAAAACAATTTATAGCTTAATCTTTTAACACAAGGAATGTTTCGAGAAATGAACTTTAGTTAACAGAAACCTTTCAAATAAGTAAGATTTTAAGAGCAGTAGTATGTTCAACATAACTTTAATTGTTTTGCATCAAAAGTTTAATAAATCATCAATCGAATATTTTAAAGAGAGTTGAGAATTTAAAAAAATTTTTTTTTTTTTGCATCCTATAAAGTAATAAGAAAATACTAGGATATACACCCTTGTGCAAATTAATGGAAAGAATGTTTTTTTCCCGTGCTTTTTAAAGAAGATGTTTCGGGGTTGTTTCGGTTACAATGGGGTTGGACCTTTGCAGCCTATTGACGGTATGATGCGTTCTGAGCAGTACATTACTATTCTGGGTAAAAAAGTCGCTCTAGAGTTGAAGAAACGATACCATGATGGAACAGGGATTTTTCAACAGGGTTTAGCTCCTTGCCATACGTCCAAAATTGTCAAGAAATTCATGCCTGAGAATCAAATTGGGACATTGGAATGGAAAGGGAACTCTCCGGATATCAACCCAAATGAGAATCTCTGGGCCATATGCAAGAACCGCCTATTAAATATGGACTGTACAACTATGGAGAAGCTAATCACGGCGTTAATTCATGTGTGGTACAAGGACAATTTTTTTTCGAATAAATNCTGTAAATTAAAAAAAAAATTATACAGTTAAAAATAACTTGATAATCAGTTAAAACATATCACTTAATATGATGGTTGAAGTTAATATTGAAATGAGTGTATTACCCATTTTTTCATTGTTTGAGATGCAGTATGACCATCCATACTAAGGTCTATTAGAGCTCCTTGATCTTCTGAACAGGAATTTCCATTATTACTGTTATTGTTACTGCATAATTTGATATTATCATCCACTTTCATGTTAATCCTTTCCTGTTAAAAAAAAACAAAAAAAAACTGCCATTTTATTACAAATATCAAATTCTGCCAAAAAATTAAATCAGCTTACAATACTTTTTAAATATCCCAAAAATACTACTCAGTCGTAAAAATATATAATCATAATTTTTTTAAAAATAAAGTAAAGCATTCTCACAACAGCTCTTTGTGGACCAGGTAGAAGGTCATGTAGATTAAGGCTCCATAATTTTGTGACCAACAGCATAATTGTGGTAATGTGGTCAGCATTGTGCACAGGCCATCTTTACTTCCCAGAGAAGCAAGTACTCATACATATGAAGCTGGAAGGGGCTTCAAGATGCCACTGGAGATCGAACTCTAGTTCTTCCCAATGATAGTTCATTAACTACTGAATTATTACTGAATATATATATAACAGAATTTTTAATAAGAAGAAACTGTGCTATGTAAAAAACTAAATAAAAAAAATTTGAGGAAATTTTTTCAGCGTAATTCTTTTGATGAAAGTTAATTTAATTGATCTAGGTATGAATTTGATTAGAAGAAAACACTGATCCATATTATAGGCTAAGATACATATATACTATATATATATATGGGTGATTCTCACGAAATATGACAATTTACAGTCTCCAAGATCTAATACTATACTACTAAAACAACTTTTTTTAATAAATAGCATTTCTGTTAGTATTTTAAAATGACCTTGTAATAGCATTGACTGTTTTGCATATTTAAAAAATTTAATTGAATTTCAAAATGTCATCTTCCTGGTATGTCACAAACAATATTTCCAATGATAACTAGCTTCAAAACTTCCCATAAATTTTTCAATATCCAATTTTTTTTCCATCTCAACTGCTGTAAGCATTTCTAGAATAATATATGCAGAGGGTATTATTCACAAAAACTTCATTAAATTTTTTTTTCTTCCCCCGTCAATAATTTGTTTGCCACAAGAAAATCTGCCATTTTCCTGGCTACTTTTATTTAGTGATTTATTATCAAAATAGATAGTGCCAGCAATCAAAATCTTATGTTAATAGATTGATTAGAATAGCATCCTATCTGAACATGTCTTGCTGCAGGAATAAAGAACTAACATTATGGTTCAAAACCTATTTCAAAATTTTTTCAAGGTGAGCAGGTTTTTATGTTGTCATTTTCCAGTCTTCTTGATTAATAACATAAACTACAGAGATTTACCTGAGTTATTTCAAGAGATCCTGTTGTTTTCTGCGGGTTATAAACATCTTAGGCAGAAATGTTAAATTAAAGTAAAGTTAAATGCTATATAAAGGCAAATTGTTATTTTCCTGGCTTATGAATGCCAAGATATTGAAACAGTTACTAGAAATTTTTTTAAGCAGTTGAATGTAAAGAGAGAAAGCAAATATTAACCTAGCTGTAGAGAGCAGGGTTGGCGAGCTGTAGAGAGCAGGGGGCGGAGCCCTCTAGTATATATATATTTGCAGATTTGTTTTTATCATATATTTCGTTTTTGATATAATAACCTATTGTTATAACTTACATTACAGCAATATAATTGTACCAGAAGATTGTGTCAGTTATAACTAAAGTAAGCACACTTACATCCTCATTCTGACTAGATTTTTCTTCTTTAGAAAGTTCCCACAGTTCATATGCTATATTGAAAGCTTGTGATATTGTTAATGCTGCAGCCTGTGCAACTTTGCGCTTAGAACACAAAAATGCATGGCACTCTAAAGTTTCATTTTTATTCGTTCCTATAAATGCTACAACTCTATCATAATTTGCATCTGCAGAACAAAAGGAGATCCTAAAATATGTAAAGCAAAAATATAGAATTTGATAAAATAAAGATAATATAAAAACAATCATCAGAAAAATTCGAAAGTTAATACATATTATTCTTAACTATATGCATTAAATAGATTTTTGTGTTTAAACATAGAGTTCAAAAAATTAATTAGTTTTAAGCTATTAAGGGGCTTGGTGCGAAAAACAAGGCACACTCTGATTTGCAAAATTTTGGTGAGAAGCACATGAAATAAAAAAAAAACGATAGATTTATGAAGTTCAGCACACATTTTTAGCCACCCTACTATACCTAACAAGCACTCCAACTTAATCAAATGTTCTCCTCCCCAAGCAATTTCTAACATATTTGAACAGGCTATCAATGCCAAATAAAAGTTTCACTACCTGTACTTGCAAGAATTTTTTTTTATCACAGTTATCAAGGTCAAATTAAAAGATTGCTTTGTCGGAAAACTAAGACAACATGGAGGAGATTGGCTGGAGAAAAAGAATGGGGAAATAAGTAATGGAAAGACAAAGGGTTTTGGATACTACGAATCATTCAAGATAATGAGGAAACTTGTTCAGCATAAGGGCATATACCTATGTTCTCATTTTCATAAAAGAAAGTGAGGATGGCTTGTTTCTTTTGGTAAACCAAGAAACCATGAATCTTAATGCTCAGTGGTTAAGGCATTAATATCAAAACCCTGAAAAGTCATGAAATAAAATTTAATAATATATTTTTTCTTAATTTTAATTTGTTTATTGTTAATTATTTGGTCAAAGTTGCAATTGTGCTGACATCTGTCCTTAGAACAAAAAGATAAGAAATGCAGTTATTAAAAGGTATCTAAGATAAAATATATTTCAGAAACCTATTTTTGTAATCAATTCCTAAAATCTATTTAATTAAATTATTTGGTTTCATTTCTTGTTTATCTTTCTGATGATTAAGATCATTAATATTTTCAATCAACATCATGTTAAACATGTTGATTTTGTAATTTTACCAATTTTAATTGTGTTAAATTAATACATACTTGTTTAACCTACCCCACAAAAACGAACATTTTCAACTAAATTTGGGGGCAATATAATTATTATTTTGTGGTACACAGGAGAGGACTGACTTTATATTTTGACCTAGTTCTTGCTCAAATTGAAGCAGCTGCTATGCCCAAAGTTAAAAAAAATAAAATTTTTTCTTCAAAAATTGGCCTAACCTTGTTTTTACACTGGGTTCCACAATTATATACATAAATTCATATGAATATTTTGTAATTATTTTTAAAAAATATACAGAGGAAATTCTATACATATTTGAAAGTCATAATTGTAAGCAAGTATTTTTTTTATACAACATGCAGATTTTTTTAAAGAAATTAAAGAAAATATTCTCTGCAATGATGCTTTCGTCTACTTAGAGAATTTTTTCAAATTTCACTTTACTATAGCAACCAAAGAGAAAGTGTTCTTTATTAGAACAGAGGGAAAATAAGCCACAAATTCGAAAGTTTTCAAAAGTGCTTGCAATAAATGAATTTGGAATTAAGTTTTAGTAAAAAAATAAAAATCACCTGTTAGAATTAGTTTGTGATAAATTTTCCAATCAATTGAAAAATAAAAAGCTATAATGTTAAGATAAATTTAATAATTTTTTTTAATATAAGGTTGTATGCCAAGAATACAACAAAAAATATTTTTAAATTAAAAAAACAACAATAAAATGTAGATAAAAGTAGTTCTGTACTATACAAACCTATAAATTGAAAAATCTAAATGCTTTTCACCAGTACTAAGATCTCTTGTTAGAATTCCTTTTGGATTCACCATAAGAGCAACTCTAGGTAATTTCTTAGCATTGGATTTAGCCTTAAAATGGAAAAAAACCAATAAATAAAAGTTTTTCCAAGCATACTTTTTCATTACAAAAAAAAAGTATACAAGAAAGACTAAAATTACAGTTGTAGTAAAAATTATTTATTAAATATTAACGTTTACGGAATCCCATAATTTTTAAAATATAATGAAATCTACTGCAAAAAAATATAATTATTACAGAACAGCTTAATCATTTTATATCCCGTGAATTAGCACATAAAAGCAAAATAAAAAAAAATTCTAATTTATTTTACAGCTGTTTAAAATAATTTAAAAGTTTGTTAAACTATTTGTTCCACAAATAACCTGAGAAACTTAAACGAACAACAGGAATTGCTAAGTAAAATTTATATCTTTAAAAATAATCGACACAAGGCCTATAAAATTAAGTCTTCATAGCAATTAGTTGGAAAATTTTTCTTAAGACTATCAGAAGAATAGTATGAATTTATAGGAGGTATAGTGTGTATGCCCTTCAGGCTAGAGATTTAAAAAAAAAAAAAAAAAAAAAAAAAATGATATGAAATTACTTTGTTTAAAAATGTTTTAGAAAAAGAATTAAGCAGACTATTTAATATAAAGCAAATTTATTAATTAATGATACTTTTGTTCAATTTTTTTTTGTTATATTTGTTGCTTTGAAAGAGTCAAAATTATCAGATTTAATTACTACATTACAATTTATAGCAAGTTTTTTTTTAAAATTTTTTTATTAAATTATTTATTAGAAATAGATGAACAGCAAAAAGAAATTAAATAAGATTAAATTAAAATTTAAAACTAAAAATATATTCATGAAAGAATTGACCACACAACAAATTTTATTAACATGACTTAGTACCACGCCAAGATGGGGTTTTGGGGTGTTAAAACCATTCTGAAAAATGAAATTTAAGTTTGAAATCATTTGCTAATTGATCAGAAAAGAAATTTGATTCCCAAGAAGATGCTCATGATCATAAGAAATGTGATAAAGTAAAAATAAATACATATAAAAATTTTCTTCAAACTTTCAGTAATAAAAAAAGAAAAATTTTTTTTAATGTTTGCAAAGCTTTTTACTTAAATCTTCATGTATCAAGTGGTAGTAGTAGTATCAATTAAGAAGTGCAGCAGTACAGAACAGAAAGAGCAGTAGCAAATTTTTTTTTAACCTTCCGTTAGTCGCGCACTTGTTTCTGACATGGTTAATCGCGTTGCACCTATGAGGTGTTTCTGATTTTTTGAAAGCCAAATGAAATTTAGCCTAGTTTAAATAGCTAATTGTTACCAATTTAAGACTCTTTAGAGAGATAAATATCAAAAAACTTATTTAGCGAAGTACCGAAGATAAATTTTTCTTGCTCCCGCGTCGGATCTCTTCTTCCATCACAAGATGTTCAGCCAATTGATGCAAGAAGGTTCTGAGGTTTTTCACTCCGTAAATATTTTCTGTGTATATAAATTGACCATTTATGCCTGCTACGTTGAGTAGGACAGAAAATGAGATAAAATATACATATTTAATTCATAAAAATATTATATCCATAATACTTGCGTCAGTGGTCGCGCTGCACCAGAGGGGTGATTTGAGCGGTTCCAACTCTCCATCGACATGTTCTAAGGTCGGTTTTACCCGGACATTTGAGTAATCCAAAGTTAGGAACATAACATTAGACTCGACCCCTGGAAAAATCTATTGACGGCAAAGGAGGTGGAAGTGCAGTAGGGATGCACCTGTGAGGTGCGCGCGTCTAACGGAAGGTTAAACAAAAGAGCATTATTTCCAATTATATTAGAAAATGCAATAAGCTTTAGAAAAAAAAAGGTATAAAGCTGATAAAAGAAAAAAAAAGGACAAAAGTTAAAAGGGTTAAGATATTTAAGCAATATGAAGATAAAAATTCAAATTTTGATTAAAAAAAAAGTACTAGATATATTCAAAACTGATCTACTCATTTGTTTCGTATTAATTTATAAATGTTATTCTGTAATTTTAGTTAAAAGCAGTTCACTGTATAAGTTTTCTACTTAAATTATTCTATACTGAAAATTTAGACATTAAAACTAGCAATTTCAATACTCCACCCAAAACAATTTGCTGGATGGGCCACTAACATAACATAAATTACAAAAAAAAAATTCTGTAAAAAGCTACTAAGCAACATAAAAAAAAAAAAAAAAAAAATCTAGTTTGCAAAACAAAAAACTATATTTTTCATTTTATTAACAGATTTCAGAAAACATTCTATAATTGGTCCTGGTATTTTAAATAGAAAATTTCATAACAGATACAGAAATTGTGTGGTGTTTAATGATGTGGATGACTACAGTTTTTGCCTTTTACTATAACCATGTTTTAAATGAACATCATTTGTAGCTAATTTTAGCCAATACACAAGCATTATTATACAAAATCATAATAAACAGATAAAAATGAACAACTAATTAATCTTCACTAATCATAATTTGAATTAATAAAACCCAACACTCCTTTCTCTACAGCTGTTTATATTCTCCTACAGCTGTTTATATTCTCAGTTTACTCCTTTCTCTACAGCTGTTGTTTTGGCTGATATTCAGCCAAAAGGACTTTCTATCTCCAGCTATAGTCATCACTTCAGGGCAAGTAATACTTTGATGCTCTGGCTAGGTACATGACTAATCTTTTATTTCTGCTTGAATTAATAGAGTTGAAATGTGACACAAGTTATACTTTTTAATTTTACATCTTTAATGGCAATTGTTTATGTATCATTTATTGCAAATAAATTGAGGTGCATAAGTTTAACTATATACAAATCAGTACCGTAACTAGACTCTCGAGTGTTGCAGAACAAACATACAAAATCCTTCGATCCTTGGAAATATGACATGTAATGAAATATCTTGTAAACTAGAAAGTATTTTAAGGGCTGTGCCATTTATCACAAAGGTAGCTATGTTCCTGATAAAAACAATCAATAAAATTTTTAATGGTAAAATTTTTTAATTTTGGTCCATAAAATTTTTTAAATAAAATATACAGTCTAAATACATGAAATTTATTATAATTTTTTTATACCATTGTAATAACTGATTTGATAGCATCGGCTGTTGCTTGCTGATCATTAGGCTCATCCACTAACGTACTCCCAAGATATTTCACATAAAATGTAATTCCATCTAACACAGGCTCTTTAATAGAATCATCCCACTGCTCTGGTAGCTCTAAAAGTAAATTTAAGCCACAAATTAGGACATAGAATTGTAATTTTCAAAAAATCCAGAACATATTAGTAATCATAAATATTATTTATATTTAGTATGTTCAAAGAATCTTTATACACTACTCCACATTCTTTTTATGCTTACTCAACCTTTAATAAACTTATACAAAAAAGAAAAAAAAATAAACTAACTAAAAATAAACTAAACTTAGTGGGCTGTCGCGCCACTGAGTTAATTTTTTTAAAGTAATTAACTTATTATAAGATAAAAAGCCTTTTCTATTGGGAAAGAACTAAGAGTATAATTTATAAAGCTTTAAAGAAATTTACTCAACATGACTAAAAACTTGTAATAACTATTAACTAGTCCTGCATTTTTGGCAGCCCGGGACGACTGTCTAGTTAGCCTACCTCTAAGCACTGCTTTTGATTCAGTACTACGAAGACTTCAAATTGGAAAATATAAAGTTTTCCAGAAAACTAAATTTTCTATTGATTCATTATGAAATAAGAATTAAATTAATAAGTGACAAAATAAAGTGCCCCAGACAGATTTAATTATAACTCAATTTTAGTCTTATTAAAAAATAAATAAAATTAATACATCTCCTAATGTAAATCAATTTTATATTATCCTTGTTTCTTTTTGAAAATGCTTTACATAATTTCGGGAATCTACATGGTAGGTATTTATGTATATTTATATTCAATGATGAGCATTCCAGAAAACATTTTTTTCGAAAATCCCTACTCTACTTAAAACGCCTACAAGATAATATAATAGAAAAAAATGAGATTAAAAAATATACACTCTAATTCAGTAATTCATACTAAAAAAGTGACTTCTTCAATAAAAGATGAAATAGTTTTTATCATTATTGTCCATATAAATTATATCATTTGACATAAAAATTAATTCTAGAAAAATTTTAATACATACATACTTGAGCAAAAATTACAACTTTAGTATCAGATTGCTAATTGATCTCTTTATTATAAGCTTATAAAGTTAAAAGAAATTTTTATAGTAAAAAGAAAAAATAAACTTTTACAATAAAAACTAATATGTCTAGATAATTTAGAAAAAATCATTTACATAACAGACTGCAATGTAAATGATAATGTGTATAGATGCACTGTTATTAACAGTGCATGTATACACATTATTGGGAACATTTCTGTATCGTGATCTGTGGCGCTAACAGCAATCGCCAAGGAGCTAAATAGATTTTAAACTTGCAATTGTTTTTTTTAATAAAGCATGTAGACTTTTGCCCGGGGGTGGTTATTAGTTATACCTTTAGAGTTGGTCCTTTTTTGTGATGTTTTTTTAAATTTCTCTCGAGCCGCCACCCGGAAGTTGCCAAGACTTGGTGATTATTCTGCCACAGAACACCATACAGAAATCTTCCCACATTGTTTACAAGGTATGAAGACAAGAAATAGAAAAAATAATTTTTTCTTAGATGGATTTAACCAACAATGAAGACAACCACAAGGTTCGGCTGAAAATAAGGTGCTTGATGATTAAGAGGTTGTGGCTATTTCTACTCTATTCCAGCATCACAAGGCTCCTGACTTTTTAAGAATGTTTGAATCAATCTAAATTAACCAAGAAGAGTTTTTTAATCAATTAAATCAAAAAATTTACTTAATCCAAAAATGACAGAAGAGTTTAAAATAAAATCAAATTATAAAATTTATTTAAATTTTTTGAAAGAGACTATAAAGATTTTCTGAACATTAAACATTGTCACTTGAGGAGCATTTTCTATGCATTTAAGAAATAATGCAGATCACTGGTATAACTCTCATAGAAAATTTTTTGTTTATATATTTATAATACTTATGCAACTGTTCCTATTTTTCGAAGTCAATTAAAACAATAATATTTGCCTATTTAGCATAGACTTCATCATATCCAATAAGAAGCTTATTTAAAAATTTTTTTGCTGAGTTTTAAATGATTAAGAGAGAATTTCAAAGTATACTAAAGCAATATATCACAATATTAGAATTAAAATATTTTTTAAGACGTAAACATTTTTATGTCTTAAGATGCTAATACTTCAGCCCATACATAAAATCATATGTATGGCATTATTTTTGCACATGCTTAATTGCATATGTATAAATGTTATAAATAAAGGGATAAATTTACCGCAATGTTCAAGTATTACGAGAAAATTTACATTATTACACAAACATATATGCAGAATAAAGAAAATTGACTACTGTTACACCAATAATAAGCTAGAATATAGTGGATAAGATACACATTCAATTTCAAAGAAACTGAATATGTAATGAAAAATTCAATTCTAGTAATATAAGAATAAAATTACTTTTATGCTTTAAACGTCCAAAAAGTCCAGATGAACCAACACGCACTGCTTTTAACAAAGATGCCATAGTATTTCCTTAAGCAAGATTGATACTTAAATTTCAAACAAGAAACTTTTAAGCCACAATACCGGTACAACACTGCTTTAAAATTATATTATAGCTTCAAAGCGGCTCATCAAAACTCAATAAAGTCTAAATTTCCTATAAAAAGCATGCTATTATGATTAGCGCCCTCTTTGAAAATTTTAATTACTTTTCGGAGGTTAAGGTTTTATGATGAAATCTCCAACTGGTTTTAAACAACGGTACAAAAAAGTGAAAGCATTATTTGAGTGCGTCATAGATTCATAAAATATGATAAGGAAATTGTTTATCTTTTTATAATTTTTTTTTCGATACGGAAAGAGAGGATGGGACGAGGTTCAGTTCTTGTTTCGGTTTCTCACTGTTTAGAATTGCATTTTGAAAGATGGCAACGAAATAAGAGAAAAATATAAACAAATGAATCCAAATTATTTGTTCAGGCGGGAGCCTGTTGTTCATTTAAAAAAATATTTTTGTTTTGAAATTAGAATTGTTTTTTATTGAAAACTTTATATAAATTGCCATGCCGTCAAACAAATTTGTTTCCAGATTATCATAGAGGTGGAATCTGTAAGTTAACATTGTCTTTTATTAAGTTTTTTATTCGTATTAGTATCTTACTTGTCAAGCTAGTTTTGCTTAAAACTGAAGTTTTTTAATACTGTCATTTAGATGTACAATTTTTCTTCTATCCATTCAATATATTTCTATTAAAAACACTTGATAAATTGTCTTCTTACTTATTAAGAAAATTAATTGCGTCATGTTTTAAATTCAAGATTGATTTGAATTAAACCTTTAGGCTCTCCATAAAAAACTTCCTGTTCTAAAAGTAAAATCAGTTTATCTACATAATGCATTGTAATAGCTTTTGCTATTCATATATCTGTTTTTAAATCTCTTATTCCCTATTTATTGATTTGCTAAATTTTTTTAAAAAAAATATTGAAACTATTTGTGGTATGTATACTTTCGTATCAGTATCAGGAGATTTCCGTATCGTGATCTGTGGCAGAATAATCTCCAAGTCTTGGCAACTTCCGGGTAGTGGCCTGCGAGAAACTAAAAAAAACAACAGAAAGGGACCAACTCGAAATGTATAACTCATAGCCATCCTGTTGCAAACATCTACATGTTTTTTTTTAAAAACATGTAATTTTGCAAGTTTAAAATCTATTTGGCACCTTTGCGATTGTAGTTGGCGCGACAGATCACGATATGGTAATATCCCCGGTTCAGTACCTTAGCCAAAATAATCATCTAACTCTGTCGTGTCTGTGACACGCCAGAAACTAAAAAAAGCCCATCACAGATACAGATATAATAGACGGGTATGACTTTATCTCCAGGCAAAACCTCTTCATTTTTTTAAAAAGTTTTTGCAATTTTAAAATTATTTTGGGCATTTTATCGATTGTAATTGGTGTGCACAGGTGCCAATGCGAAAGTTTCACCATCACGAAGGCATCTTTTCCCTTTCTTACCGGAAGATTTTTGTGTCAGCATCAGAATATACGCCAACTTTTAGAGACTTATGGAGTAATTCTAAAACACCACTGAATGAGACCAACTTGTAGTATGTGACTCGCAATTACCCTGGTCAAACCACAATGTATTTTTTATTTTTACTTCTAAATCCCTTTGGATGTTATTGATTTCATGAACAGAGGTAATAAAACAGAAATATCTATTTCCTCATAACTGTAGAGGTTTAAATATATTTCTTATTTAGGGGATATTTTCATATTATTAGTATCTTTTCGTGAAAGTTTCAATCACTAAGGCACCAAAGAATTTTTGTATTTGCTAAAAATTTTAAGAAATGTGTAATGTAATAGCTTTTCTATTGTTACTATCCGGTTAAGGACAAAACTCAGTACATGTACCAATACTGGTGCATGTACCAATACTGTAATCTTCTCTTAATTTTTTTATTACAATTGAAAATTTCTTACTGAAAATATGTTTGGAAAAATTGAATTTTCATTCTTCATTGATTTATATGAAATGAACTTTAAATTTAAAAAAAGAATATCTTACACCACTGTTATTCAGTTTGACTATAGTCATTTTCAAAAGGGTAGTGAAAAAAAAAAAAGCAACCTGACTGATCAAATTGTAAAAGTGTATCGAAACTTTAAAAAAAGAAATATTAATATAAATATATATGCTTTTTATACAGTTTATCAAATTTTTTTATTTTTAAAGCTCATTGAAATATATATATTTTTTAATTTCTATAATACTTTAGTAAAATAATTTTTAAAATATTTATCATCCTTAAACATGTTATGGGGTTTTAAAAATTTCTAATATAGGCATAATCATTGATAAAAAAATTAGTTTAAGCTCTGTTGAATAAATAGGGTTTTAAACTATAAATAAATGATTAAATGTTTTTAAAAAGTGAAATTTTAAATTCATTAATTTAAAATATTTTTTATTGATTTTTTAATGTTAACCCATGGTTGCAACTCTTTAGTCCTGGGGACTGAAATCAGTCTTGAGAAAAAAATCAGTAGACTAAATTTAATTAATTAATATAATTTTCCCATTTGTATTTATTTAAATATTTTTTAATTATTTATTTTTATTTTTTTTATTTAATTATTTTTTATATTTATTTTTGCTTGCTGTAAAAAAAAAAGGAATTTTTTTTAAATTACATAAATTAATAAATTCCGAGTTGATTATGGTATATGAGCCGTTATACAGGTATATTTTGAAATCAGTGAGCTATAAATTTAGAAAAATTCTGGTAAACAATGCTAGACCTAATTAATTGGTAAAATAATAAGTTCAGTCTTGAAATTTTTTTAGAGTGGCACCCATGTGTTAACCTTTATATGAGAAATCTATATTTGGGATATAAGTAATGTAATATAATAATGTAGATAAAATACATTAAGCTTGAATAGTCTATGATGTAGAAAGTGTGCAAATCTACTGGATGTATATCAAAACAATCCAAGTCTTGGCAGTACAGTTTATGTTTGGAGTAGGTGCTGGTGATACTTGCCTTCTAATACCAATGTAGAATTCCTCCTAAAATTGTAAATCCCACAAATAACCTGCAAACTTCCTGGCTTTTGAGATAAGTATCTTACCCCTAGGTAGCAATTAAAAGAAATTACCTATTATTTGTGCAAATCACATTATAATGCTAATTATACCTATTATCTCAAATTTTAAAAACAGTGCCTTTATCTTTATGACTTAGTTTACATTAGTTTAAAATTTTCTGTCTTGATATTAGTTTGTCTTTTTTGATTACTATTTTTTATTGCAGTTTTTTATAAATTTAGAATCTTACAGATTTCCCAGCATGGGAGATTTTATTGAAGTAAAGTTGCGAGATTGTCTTCAGCAGCTGATAAATGGTAAAGCAACAGACCGTAAAGTAAGTAAAACACTGCTTTTTGCCACTTTTTATCATGACTTTTCCAGTTTTTTTTAAATATATCTGTATCTTATTTTTTTAAATAAAAAATTTATTATAGATTTAAACCAAAAAAAAACTTGTCTTTATGTGAGGAAGATAAATTTTGCTAAGTCTAGGAGTTTTAGTCTTTCCCCCAGATATCCATTTAACCAAAGCATAAAAAAGGCACAGAATGATTGACTGAATTAAGTGTTATAGCTCTAAATTCTAGTAGCTGCTGTAATTCTAACTTTTACTAAATTTGATCGATAGATTTAGATTTTGTACTTGATTTATTTAAATATTGAATTACAATGGAACATTAAAATACTAAATTAATCATTGATATTGTACTCACCTATATTTTAAATTTTACAAATTAAAAGGAATTTTTCTTTTCCCTTGGTATTATCTTCCTTATTTGTGTTATACAATTAACAAAATAAGAAATTTGTACCCTAAAATACTTTTTTAATAAAAATATAAAAATTTCATTTACAAAGTTCACATTCTGGGAGTTAACCTTAAATATGTTATTTAATTAACACAGGAATTAATTACAAAATGAGAAATAAAACTGTTTTTTTGTTTGTTTGTTTAAAATAAACATATTTGTTGGGACAGATTCAGATTTCTGATCCTGTTAAATATGAAAGAAAGTTCTTATCTGTAGTTAGGGACCTAATTAATTTAGATAGGTATGTTATCTTTTTTGATTTGTGTGATTTGCTCCTTTTAGCCATATTTTTACTTTAATGTGCACAGTTTCATTAATAGACTCTACCAGTTGCACCTATAAACAAACTTTACTATCCAAAATTAAATTCATTTTGGGTTTTATTTTAGGTTTTAACTTCACCTGTTTGGGTGAGCATGCGGTCTGCCGCACTACTGAACAGGGTAATCGAATACTGCATCATTCTGTGTGTTTGTACGCCATGACTTAGAATTTGCACATATTTTTTAATCAGATGTAATCATAATGGTTTACTTTTTGTTAAGTTGTGTTGTTATTATGTAAATTATGTGACAGTTTAAAATAGACTCTTCTTCAGTGTTTATGCTCATTGGAAAATGTTTGTGTTTCTAATACTGTTTTTTTTTCCCCAATCGTCTTTAACATATCATCATTTTTATTTTATGTGTTACCCGTTTGATATTCCCCATTTCTATTTTGTGTGGTATTTATCATTGAAGCAATGGTTGCATCATCATACGCATCTGAGTTTTGATTTATGTACAGTTCAGCTGGCCCTTAGCATGAACCATGCATAAACCTCACTGTTACTGTGTTGTTTTGGTCATTCTTTTTTCCCATGTTTTTGATGAAAGTGGCAAGGCAGAAACCCAGTTAATTAGGTGTATTCCGTGTAACAGGGTTTTGCTAAAGAGAGAGTGGTCAATGTTTTGTTTTGTTATTTTTTGCAAATATATTTTGCATGTAAACCGTAATTCATTTTTATGTCTTTATATTAGTGCTATCAATAGATTATTTTATTCTTTTTCATTTTAGAAACAAGTTGATGCCCTGAAAAATTATTTAACACAAGCTGCATACACACAATATTTAACTAGAAGTTCCACCTTGAAAAGAAATGCTCCTAATCAACCCCATCATGGTTCCATTCTTATTACTTGGAAGATAGTATTTCATAAAATTAAGTCATACCTAGAACAAGTAAGTTTTAGCTGGGCTACCGATAATGGGAGGATTTTTGTACCAGTAGCTATGCTAAAGTAATCACCAAATTTTGGTGAATTCCGGATGTTGGCTCGCTAGAAACTAAAAAAAAAATAAATTACGGTATGAGTCCAACTAAAAAAGAATAATTCGTAGTTATCTCCAAAGCAGTACAGAATTCTTTTTACAAGTTTAAAAGCCCTTTGATGCCACAGCAATTGTAGTTAATGCCAACGGGTCCAGATACAGAAATATTCCTTCTATAATCTATTTACAGGGTGACAAGAAATGAAATATTGAAATATTTTTATTAAAACATATTGCAATGAAGATATGAATATGTTAAATGAAATATTTTTATCAAAACATATTGCAACTAATTTTGAAAGAAATTGTGTTTCTTTAGTTACAAAGTTCTTTAAAAACCAAAAAATAGATCATCCAATAAGGTTCAGCTTTAACACACAGAGGTAAAAGCATTCAAGAGTGAAGCAAGATCTTATTTTCTAATTTCCGTTGAGCACAATAATAACTATCTTTTTTACCAGACTTGGATCCAACGTATTTTTTGGTTTGGTCTATCTTGGAGGTAAAAGTTAATACTGAATTAAATAAGGCTTTGGCATGCCTAAAAAAATCATTTTACGTGAAATGCAAAATATTTGCATATAGCTGTGTCCCATGGTAGAAAAATTTGTGGTATGTTTATAGCTGTGCATAAAATTGGTCATTTTGAAAATTTGTAAATATGTTATGGATTAGAATGTTTATCATGTTATTTTAATAAGTTAAGTTGGGATGTCTTAATGAGCTTTTAAATAATGATGCAACTGTTAATGTATCCTTATTCTGTATTTTATTGCAGTATTTGTTTAAAAATTGCTAGTCTCTGTGTAAAACTTTAGATTTTGAAAACAATGATATCTTTATAGGAATGCAGACAACTGCAAGAAAGAGAGAGCTCCAGCTCTCTATCTGATGCTGTGCGAAATAATATAAACAAAGAAAAAGGAAAGTGTTTGAGCTTGTTTCGTACTTTCATTAAAGCATTACACTCAAGTAAGTACAACTAAAGTTTTATTTGTGTTTATTTGTTGCAAACAATATGCAATTTATGTGATATTATGAGGAAGTGTTTACTCTTTCTTTTATTTTTTATTGAATAAATAAACAAATATTGTAATTAATTTTATCAAAATATTTTTAATTTTTTTAATCATTTATAAAATGATTGCTTTTTTTACCTAACTACTTATGATAATGTGGAAGTCATGTTTTTGAATATTGTTGATCAGACCATACTTAGGGAGTGGTGAACTGAATGATTAATAAAGAAAAGGGGGTGCTTAGAACTTAAAAAATGCCGTTCAGTTCATGAGTTTAAGTTGATTAAATATTGAAAAATGGAAGAATTTGTAATATTTTACTATACTATTACATTGCAGTATAATTTTTATGTTATTATTATAATTGTATTTCGTGAACATTAACATAACAAATTTAAAATATTTTATGTTTGTAATATATATTTCTTTATAGAAATTCCTGGGCATTTTGTAACAAACCATGTGAAGATTCAGTTAATCTATTTTGCTTTGTCCAAGGCTGCCAAAACCCTTATATATTTTCGAAAAAGCAATATTTTTTAAGTTTTGTTTCTCAGAAACTATTTGACAGATTTTGTTTAAATTTTGTATTTACATAATTTAAAATTGCATTTACATTAAAATTACAAAAAACTACATAGTTTTCAATGATGTAAAAAATTTTATGATCTATATGTCAATTTTTTTTTTACCATAATTGAAAAAAATATTAAATAATTATTAATAATAATTTTTTATATTGATATCTTTGGCTAAAGGAAGTTTTAAAATTGTGAATAAAAAGTTTTATAATCAGCTTAAAATGTTTTGATGTATGGCAAAATATTTAAAAAGTGAAATTAACAATAAGGGGCCCACATTTTCAACAGTTTTCCAGGCAAAAATAATGGAACCTCTTTTTTCAGATTGGAGTTTCTTTTTTTACTCTGATAGTTAAATATCCAAATATGTTAAAATTAAAAGAGATGTTTATTGAAAAGAACTTTTTGTGCCTGATTTTGTAATTTAATTATTAATTAACACAATTTAATTAGCATATTTAAGACTAATCTTTTAAACTGTTAAGACTGACTTTTGATATGCAAAAATCCTATTATTATAACAAAAAAAATTTCTGTTTAATATTTGTCTTTTTTGGCTTAATATGTATTTTTATAACTAAATTTATTTTTATTCTTTCATTGATTCATCTCTTGGCTGATCTATCTTTCAATTAATGTCATGTTCTCTCTTTTATCTTAATATGATAGTTTTTGAAAAAACATATTAATTATATCTCATTACAAATATAAAACTGTATTTTTTCTTGGGGCATAAAACTAACTAATCACTAATTTCTTAGAATTTTTCATTCTAATTATTAGTTAAACTAATTAAAACTATTTATTTCTTTTCCAGTAAGATTTTTTCTCTATTGCTTTCTCCCTTAATGATACAAATATTTCACCTGTTCGGTACAAAAAAAAAAAAATTCTTTTACAAATATTTAGGAAAAATAAAATATTTTTTTTAATTATCTGAAATGATTTGATATTTATCTACTGAAACAATTTCTTTGTTTTGATAATATTTGTTTAGAATTTACTTGCTTAATTTTATGGCACTATTTTTATGTTAGTTTTGTAAGGTTTGTTTTCTACCTGTACAATTCATAATCTTTCTGTACAATTCACAATCTTTATATATTGATTGCCCAATCTTTTTGGTTTTTATTGCAGATAAGCAGTATGATATGGCTCAACCTATAATGGACCACATGTTGTCAATCTTTCAAGAACACTTTACTAAAGTTTCTTTTGGGTTAGAATATTCAAACATGTTATTAAAGTATATTTTGACTGATCCTTTTATGTGTCAACAAATTCCCGCTACAACTTTTGATGGTATGATTCTATGCATTGAATTTGTGAATATTTTTTACACTCATATACCTACATTGTTTTTCTTCCATAAACATTTTGCTATTGTCCTAGAGGTGGTGGGTAAAAAAAGTTTAACTGTATAATTTTTTTATACTAATTAAAATGGCAACTTTATATATATAAAAAACTTTACCAGCCTCTTAACAAATTAAATGCTGTGTTTTACCATATGTGCTCTTAATATTTATGTCATTTATATTGTTTAAATTATTGTTCCAGCAGGGTTTGGAGTAGCAGCTCGAATTGCTCCAAAATCAAATTTCTGCTCCAGCCTGCTCCAAAATGTCATTTTCCCCCCAAAGTAAAGTTTGTGTTGCATGTAGTTAAAAATATTACAAAAGAGGAAATCACCTAAAAATATCTAAAAAAAAAGAAGAAAAAAAAAGATTGAGAATTGATGGACTTTTACGATGGGGGTTAATACAGCTGTTCAAAAAGTGATAATTGAAACTTTGTGGTCAAAGCTCTTTGGAGAAATATTTTTCCAATTCTTTCTTATCCTAAATTTAATTCTAAATTTGAAAATTTTTCTAATTTAAATTTTTTTTGAAAATAAAGAGATTTTAATATCTTATGTAAGGATTGCTCCCCCCTGTCCTCTCTCCTTGTCAGCAAAAATAAGCAAGTCAAAAAGCTCCCCTTCTTAAATGCTTACATAATATTTGAATGGCCCCTTAGAAATATTTAAAATTAATTTTTTCTAGAATATTCTTACTTAAATCTATCAAAATACTAACAATAATATTAAAGTACAAAAGCATTGTATTAGAAGCATGGGCTTAGGTAATTAATAAATAGATACAAGGTTAGGCAAAAGTGTAGAAATAATTAAATATCTAAATATGGAACAAAAAGCATTTTTAATAGGAAAATAATAATGAAAACTATAATAAAAAATCATACTAGTTTTTTTGTATGTATCTAATCTTGCTTGATATATTATTTTTAAAGTCTTTAAAAATGTTACTTTCAAAATTGATTTCTTTACTTGAAGATATTAAAAGTGTTTATTATAAATAATTTATCAGGAGATTCTCATTAAAAATTTAATATGCTTTATAGATCTTTGTATTCTAAACCATAAACTTTATACAACTTTATAAGTCAAGAATATGAATTAGAATAATATAACTTTCATTAAGTTATGAATTTGAGAATTTAAGGAAATTAATTTTGTAGTTTTTTTTTACTTCTCTGCAATTTTAATATTTTTTAATGTTCTGTTTTTATTTTTATAGATGCCATATGGATTTATTGCAAAGTTATTAAAAATCCCCCATCAGGATGGGATAGGACGTCTCTCACACAAGTTTTATTCCATTTATTAAATACAAGGTTAAATATAGGGATTCCTAACTTTTCCAAGCTTTTTAAGTTCTTCTCTTCAGTATTTGAAGCTGTAAGGTAATTATGTTTATTTATATTTCTTTTTAATAAATTTGGCAATATATTGTTGCTAATATACTCTAGTGTAGTTATAGATGTTTTAATGGTATTCGAAAATACATAAAATCCAATGTAATTCATAGAAAAACAAAAGTTTTATTATATTAATCTCTTTTAAGATCAATTTTAGCAAGTGCTTGTGAAACCTGGACCATATCTTGTACGGATGAAGTTATCTTGGATACCTTTGAGAGAAAGGTCTTAAGAAGTATTTTTTGGAGTAATTTAAAAAAAATGGTTTGAGGCTTAGAAGAACAAATTTAGAGCTTTATCACTTATATAATGAACCGTACCACAAAGAGAGTTTTCAATGCCAGACCAATTAGCACGCAAAGAAGAGGCAGGCCGAATTTGAGATGGATAGATGACTTAGAAAAAGACCTTTTGATCTTAAAAACTGGAAAATGCTAGTAGGAAAAAGGTTAACCTGAAAAATACTTCTTGAGAAGGCAGAGGCCTATCCTGGGCTGTCGAGCCAATGATGAAGATGATGAATATACTCTAGTATACTGTATTTACTGTTTGTACTTTTTATTAGTCTGTTGAGGATATCTGGGTATCGTGTAAAATAAGTATTGTAAATATTTTTGACTTCTGTCAGTTTTAAACTGTTTTATCAAACGGGTCTCATCAAAAGTTCGGCATAATAAAAACCTGTGTCGAGAACTGTTAAGAGCCTAAGGGTTTGCATGCATGTTAATCTTTTATTTTGTAGACTATTTTTAAAATATTGTGAATTTTACTTGCTAGGTCTGAACGAGCATGTGGGCACCATGAGAATCTTCTTAAATGTTTAATGTTGTTTTGCCGAAGTTTAAATAATGACCATCGCTTACAGCTTTGTGAACTTGGGGAGACTATATTGCCACCCATAATGCAATTGTGGAAAACTCGTCCTTCTGACTCTAGTCAAGTAAGCCCATTGAAGTTTATTTTTATTGTAATTGTTTGTAATAAAAAAACATTTTTCTTTCTAATTGTATTATAGGCTTTCTTTTAATTGAATATTTGCTTGTGCAATAGAATTTTCTGATTTGAATGCTTCATTTTTATGATTTAAATTGGAATGCTGTTTGATTAAAGATTTAAAAATGAAATTATCTTTCATACCATGTTCATTAGTTTCAAGTAATTTGTTTGAATGAATATTTGTTCTTAATATATCCTTAAGAGAAAGTGGTTGCCATTGTTAGAAAGCAGGTCCCTTTCATGACTTTGAAGTATCACCTTAATTTTTAATTTTTTTTTTTTATACTCTGTTCTGATTTTCATTTTTGTCTTCCTTTTTTAATAGAAAATGTTTTAGCATGTTTTCTTTTAGTTTTAGCAACCACATTTTCATACTAAAAAATTAATAAAACCATCATGTAACTCAGTAGGAACAACACTATTAAAAAGAAATAGTAATTAAAATTTATAAAAATATTATTATGCGGCGGGGCCCTGGCCCTGTAATCTCACCTTCACTTGGTGATGCAAAAAAAAGAACTTTTACTTCAACTTGCAGGAGTCACGTAAAACCAGTTTTTCTACAAGCAACCGAGGATATTCACATTTTAGCTCGTGGCGCTAAGAATATAATTATATATATTGGCGCGGTCGGTGAAACATGGCTGTACAATGATCCTAATTTCATTTTTAACTTTCTGTATTTATTTGTAATTAATTATGTTTAAATTAAATTTATTCTTCAAACTTTAATTTGGTAATTTGCTTTAATGCTTATAAAAACTCAATTTACCAAATTGGTGACCCTTTTTTCGAACACGCGTTCAACATCAACTCAGGATATGGTGTTTCAACAATTTCAGTAAGTTTATTTTTTAAATTGGTTTCCACTAGGAGTATCACGCGGTAACTTTTATTTTCTTGTGTGGCTTTTTTTTATTTCTTATTACCGTCTAATTTAATAGTTATTTTTACTTCTCACTAAACATGGCATTTTTGTTATAGCAATGTTCGCGTTCATCAATATTTACATTATTTTTAATAATAATCCATAATCAAATTTGTTAACTAAATTCACGACTTATTTGAGAATTTTCTTTTAATTTGTTTAAACATTCCGCAATGCCTAACGAAACTCTAGACGAAAATCAAATTGCTCACGTGGCAGTCAAACCACCTCCGTTTTGGAAATCAAATCCCGCCTTGTGGTTTGTCCGGCTAGAAGCACNTTTCCTCCTCAAAGACATTGAGCGAACTGTGATATCAAAATTACCTCATGCTGCGATAACTCCAACGACCACACAATTTACTGAACCTCCGCAGACAACGACACGATCTGGCCGGAGAGTTCGATTTAATCCCAAATACTTGTAGTATTTGCTGGAGGGGGAGTACTGCGGCGGTGCCCTGGCCCTGTAATTTCACCTTCACTTGGTGATGCAAAAAAAAGAACTTTTACTTCAACTTGCAGGAGTCACGTAAAACCAGTTTTTCTACAAGCAACCGAGGATATTCACATTTTAGCTCGTGGCACGGTCGGTGGAGCATGGCTGTACAATGATCCTAATTTCATTTTTAACTTTCTGTATTTATTTGTAATTAATTATGTTTAAATTAAATTTATTCTTCAAACTTTAATTGGTAATTTGCTTTAATGCTTATAAAAACTCAATTTACCAAAATTATAATCTTTGAGGCTTATACGAAATTCTATTGTATAGATAAATAACATGAAACTTACTTTTAGCTTCAAAACTTCTTGTTATTTATTTAACTTAAAGGAATAATTTGAGCAAAATTTTTTTATTTTATTTATTGAATTATTTTACATAACTTTCATTGAGAAGTTACTTTATATTTTAGTTTTATTTTATTAAATTGTGAAGATTGATAGATTCTTTAACATTAATGCTTAATGCAATTGTTTTTCCTCCTTCAGGAATTAATGTTGGAATTCATAAGTTTTCAATTAACTTTACATCACCCAAAAGGACATGCCACTGAAGACAAAGGTGCTGTAGCTCATGAATGGTCTTGTTGGAAGAATCTACTGTTAAATCTTTATAAGTTAATCATTACTGAAATAATGGAGATCTGTGAAAAAAATAAGTACTCTTCCGGGTTTGTATAATTTTATTTTTTTAGCACAGCTTATGCTCTATGGTATGACCCTCGCTTAAAAAACCACCCTTCTGTAATAATGAATGATTCATTCAGTTTCTCTTATGTTTTTTTTTATTGTTTTCATTTGCTATTCCATAGATGCATTGTTATTTTAATGTCCATTAGAACTTCTGCACTGAACTCTTTATTTGCTTGTGGTAACTATAATTTAGTAAGTTTATTTTAAAAAAGTTGTAAAAAAATTATTTTAATCATTATTTTCTTTGATATTACCACACGATAAAGAACTTAAGGCTTGACACATCCTCTAGAGCAGTGTTCCCCAACCCCCTGTCCGTGGATCAAATGGTGCCGGGCCGCCCATTTCATTGAAACTGAATTTAAATTCCTAGGTTTATACCCCAAATTAAAAAGATCTGTGTTCCATTAAAATTTTATTTATTTAAAAAAAGGGGGCCCTGAAGGTAGTGACATAAATTTTTTAATGTTTGTGATGTATCATTGTCTCCGATTACCCACAGATGGAACCGTCTCATTGCAAAGAAGCAAGCTCAGGGTTCTCATAGATTTAACGTTCTAGTAAGTTAAAATGTTAAATCACTTTATACTTATTTATTGGTGTAACTGTATTTTATTTTGAAGATATAATTAAATTAAATTAATAAATCAAAATAATCTAAAATATAAACAATCAACTTCCGTCCCCCACCCCCTCCGCAACGGGCCGCGGTAAAATTATCAAGTGTTGCCAGGTCCGCGGTCATAAAAAGGTTGGGAAATACTGCTCTAGAGGAGTGTGGTGGATCCCCATGATTTTGATTTATGTAACATAAATTATTTTTTTTGCGAGAGATTGGTTTGTTAATTCTGTGCTCAACCCCCTAACTTGGAGGACTGGAGTGTTGCTCTTCGCCTAGAGCCTTGTGGGCCACCTGTTCGGCTTGGGGAGGCCCATTAGTAACGTAACTCAAGCGAGTCCTAAGTCCATTCTAGCCCCCTCACTCTGGCACAATCCCTAAATTTCTACTATAAGCCCTAAGTAGTTTGTGGTATTAATTTATGGTCATTCATAATTCGTGCAACTTTCTTTTCAAAAGATACAATTAATTTATCGTTATCAATCATACTTTTCATATCTTAAAATTATATTCACTCTTCTTGAGAAATGTCCGTCCCTTTCTGTGGATTATTTTTAAGTTAAAACATGTGGTCTTTGCAGTTATCTTAATGTATATTATTTATCAAAAATGGGAGCCCTCAACCAGCATATTATTTTTTAAGCAATTTTCACTTATGAAGTGATGTTTTAAAGGGTACTTTTATGTATCTATTAATATAGAAATAAAGTTGCATTATTTCCAATTTTTTTGTTAGTTATTGAATTTTTATCAAAGAAAAGTATTGCTTTGTTAAAATTTGTACTGTATTTTTTAGCTATGAGGTAATATTTGCAGCATTCTCAATATAATGACCTCTCATTTTGACATCTGTTTTCACACAGGCCATGAAGGTTGTTATATTGAGCGTCCACAGTGTTATAAAATTTGCTTTTTAATTTCTGTGGATTCCTAATGATTAAATTAAAATAATTTATTTATCTTTTTTTTATGTACTTTATCTTGTTAAAACTTTCTTACTGATATTTTGTAAGGGTTTAAAGGTTTTTTACCTTGACCGAGATTAATGATTTCCATGTCAGTTATAAAAATTAGTTATGAATGGAGATGAAACTGGCTTAACGTGGTGCAGCAGGGATTCAGATGCATCATGAAGTTACCATGCACTTTCTTTCTTTTTCAAAATAACAGATACTTAAAAATATGTTAAGTTTTGTCATTATGTTCAGTTAAAAGGTAATGTAACGAGGCCAAGTTATTATAAGAAGTCTGCCATTGTAACAAGCTGCTTAGTCACCACCAAAATGCTGATATTAAAGATACAAAAAATGCATGTTTATAACAAGTAAAAAATAATTTGCCTCTTGCTATCACAAAATTTTTTGAGTGAAATACATTTTCTGCTGTTTAAGTGAGCAATATTGTACAAAAAAAGGGCACAATATCAAATATTTCTATATGTAGTTTTAGTAACAATACAAAAAAGCAAAAAACAGACTTTATTTCACCACATTTCACTTTAACAATCTTATTCCTATATATATATAACGTAGCCTTTTTCTATCAATTTATAATATATAACGTAGCCTTTTTCTATCGATTTATAATATATAACGTAGCCTTTTTGTATTAGTAGCCTTTTTGTTTTCCAACACTGTGACGCTTTTCAATTTCTACAGCTCTGTGTACTGTAAAGAATAGATGTGTTTATATTCACATTTTTTTTTTGTGTCTTTCATTTGATATCATTTGATGTCATTTTAACCCCTTAATGATCGGTTAATTTTCAAGAAAACGCTCATAAAAGTGCCTATTTTTTTGGCTTTTGTATTTGTATTACGTATTTAATTAATGCTGCAACTAGTTTGAAATAAATTAACTGTCTACAGTTATCTTAAAAATATCCTGTTACTGCGATCAGGCATGTAAAATGAGAAATAAAATGTTTTTAGGGCAAAAGAAAAGAATTAGTTTTATTCTTATTGGCGTGTTACTACTGAACACTCCAGCCCGTCAATATCACGGGAGCGAGAAATAGCGGACGAAAAATCACCCCATCATTTTCACGGGAGTGAGAAGGAAAGGGTTAAGTACTTATTTCCCATTTTTTCTGATTATATTTTGTCCAATCCAGAATTTTTTTCTCTATATTCTATCTACAAGATTTTGTCTGAAGGCCTAATTATTATTAGAATTGACATACTAGCCAAGTTGAAATCATGAAGTGAGGAATTATCAAGCTATTTATGTAAATGAGTATTAATTCATTCATTTTTATAAAATATTTGAGGGTTATTACATCTAACTTTTATTGTGCTTCATGTTAAAAAGAGAGCACTTAAGAAAGGACATCTTTAAGTATCCTTGCTAGCTTGTGCAATTTCATTTTAAAAGTTTTATATTCATATTAATTAGCTAATATAATTACAAAAAAAAGGGGATTTTAGTTTCAGTCAAAAGTAATTGAAAGACATCAAAAATGTTAAATTATTTGTTAAGATAGCTTAGCTTAAAAAAAATGGTTATAATGTCGAATTCATGGTTATCTATTTAAGTGTTTTTATGGAATTGAGTTAATTTTAAAAAATTCAAAACACTTATAAAATTTTTTACTTTTTGATAACATTAATTTATTCATTTAACTAGAAGAAACTATGTGTTTAATGTGTTTATATGTTGATTAAAATATTTTAAAGTGTGATGCTTTCTTTTCTTTTAGTAAGGAGACCATTTTAAAACCAGTTTTCATTTCTGTAACTATTGAAATTTGTGCTCAAGTGTTTGGTGATTCTGTTGGCGCTTTAGATGTAACGCAATCTTCTTTTCTCAACGATGGATCTTTACCATCTAAAAAACGGCGAATCGATGTCTGTTTTCGCACTTTGATAGAAAGTTTATCATCATCAAAAATTGTTCCCTGGTAAAACTTTAGTTTTATTGTGAATTAATTCTACTTTATTTAATTCTTTGTTTTCTACACATAATTACTGTTTTGAATTTCTAACTACAGCAGTAAACTTTTAATTTTTTTCTTTCTTTATAACTGTTTGTATTTTTACAAATTATTCATTATTTTATTAATTATATTTTGCCAGGATTCTTTGATGTATATCAATGAACATATATCTAGATGTATATCATATCTACCCAATATTTAAAAAAAATTGAGTATCTGATATTTTCAGTTAATGTTCAAAATATCTATATATTTCATGGTTTTTCATTATACACTGTACAAATACATGCTGCCATTCCTTACAAAAAAATACTTGTTTTAGACTGCATCTGTTCCCACCCCTTATTTACCTTGAAAAATGCATTCTTAGATTGTACACCCCCCCCCCTAATTTTAACTAGGGTTATGAAGCTGCATATAATGAGAAAGATGTCAAACTAGATCTAACCAATAGTATCAATTCAGTGTACAGGTATTGCCAACTAGTATTTGAATCTGTATTGTGCAGAGATTTTTTTTTAGCTGTCCCTGTGTCTTGTAAGATAACTTTATTATATGTCTTAAATTTTTAAATAAAAGATTTCAAAAGAAATCATGCCAAAAATTATCATACAGGATGACTTTCTGAATGTGGAACCTTCAGTTTTGGGAAAAACTATTAAGTTAGAACACAAATTGAAAGATAAAACAACTAATCTTTTTAACCTATTAGTAACTGACTCTCCTATGACAGCTGGGTTAGAAGGAATATTTTCTAGCTTTGGATTTGTTCAATTTTAACAAAAATATTTTAACAAAAAGAAATAAAGAGAGAATTTATGTTTTAAAATTTTTGTGAAATAAAAATGTCTTTACACTTGAAGTGGAATATAATACTTCTGTGACAAGCATTTAATTTTTGAGAACTTTTTTCTTTTATGAAGTTTTGTTGAATAAAGTTTCGTTTTATAAAGTTTTGTTGAATGTAAAAAGGAATTTAAAACATATTATGAACATAAATAAAGTGGATTTTTTTATGTTCCAATTTTGATATGTCTTAAAATATTTATCAACAGTAATATTAACTATTTTATTGTACCAAAATATTGAACCAAAATATCGTATAAGTATCAAAATATCAGATACATATTGAAATATATGATAAATATCAAAATGTGGAATATATATCAAATAATCAGATATTTTTAGATCAGATATTTTTATCAGATCAGAAATGTCATATTTACAATCCCTGTATTTTAGTTCTAGTGTAAAATATTTTTAAAAACTTCTTGACTGCCTTAAATTGTGAGACTATTAAACTTTTTAATGAAGTTTCGTTTTCTTTTTATTGCAGGCTACAAATTATATCTGCATTTTTGCTGAAATACTCTGATGTGCTTTCCAAAATTGAAGCTGAACAGCTGTTTGATACTTTAATTGACATAAATTTATCTTGTAATCAGTAAGTCAAATTTTTCTTTTAATTACCTATTATTTTCAAAACATTTCATATTTAATAAATATTATTATTGCAGTAGCTTTTTTTAATCTGCCCATTAAAAGCAAAAAAAATAAAAACATTTTACTTGCAGTTATAACTTAAGTCAATTTTTAATTTCTTAAATTTTTTTTTCTTTGATAAAGCACAGCGAGTTCTTTACTATAAGTGCTCGCATTGCTTGATTACATTTGTTTTACTTTAGCTTGTTTTGGTAGGTTAGAGCAAAGTAGGGTAATTTGTACTTAGCAGATTAAGATAAAGTCTATAGATGTTTCAAAATTTTTATTTATTTTATTTTATTCAGCATTTGATTTAAATTAACCATGCCAATAATCTTATATTATTAAATAAAAGAATAAAAGAACAATTATATCAATCATTGTTTTTTTTGATACACAGCAATTTTAAAATTAATAATTTCAAATGTAAATATAAAAATTTATGTATGTACCAGAAATCCTAAATAAAGTAAAAATCTTGATATACTTACCATTAAAGTATCTCTTGCCATATCAACTATATGCATGTGTTACAAACCATAAATTATTAAATAAATGCAATATAAATAGGTATCAATGTTCTTAACAAATTCTATTTTTATTTCATTTCAGGTTTGAAACAAAAAATTATTTACTAAATTGTTTTCAGTCTTTTGTTCAAGCATTTGGAACTAAATCTAAATATTCAAAATCACAATTTAATTGGCAGAAGTTTTGGGATATTGGAATCAAGTGAGTGTACTAATTTTATGTTATGAAACTTCTGTAACAATAAAGAGGGTGTTCAGCAGAAGACTGGCTGATTTTAAAATTAAAAATCTCCGCAACAAAAGATACTGGAGAATCTTCTACAGATATATGTAGAACCTTCTTTTTTGTCTCCTGACATTTAGTATTTTTTAATTTTAGGTCAAATACTGTTATAAGTCAATGTCATTCTGCAGGACCCTTATAGCTATATATTACTTAAACTATATTTCTTAAATCAAATTTAATGTTATAAATGTAATTCTTTTTTTTTGGTTTTAATCTTCTGACATTTAATATTCTTTATTTTAGGTCAATAGCTCTTATGAGTCAATGTCATTCTGCAGGTCATAAACTGCTTCAAGTTCTCTTAATGCATGAGCTTGTTGTTCCTAAAAATGATTTTCTTGCTTTATACACTTTAGGTAAGATGCCATTAAGTAATTCCTTCAGGTAATTTTTTTGTACAGTTAAAAAGCTGTGATATGTGAAGTAATAATGGTGTCTTTGCTTTAAATCATATATTCTTATTCAGTCTGAAGTATGCTTCGTTTAGAAATCATTAAAGAAAGATATAGAATATGAGTAGATGTGACTTATATTTTATAGAATGTTAGGTTTTTATTTGCTTATAGATTTGCATTAAAAGAAATTACGTGAAATGATTTGAAAAAATTTCTGCATTTTGAACTGCGAAATTGAAGTACCTAATTTATGTTTTTCTTTTCTTATTGTTGAAATTTTCAAATCTGTTAATATTGTACTTTATAAATTTGGTTATTGGCAGTTTAGTCTCAAAACAAATATTGAATGACAACCCTGCAGCATTTATTTTGAATGAAATATTTGAGCTTCTATAATCTTTATTTTTTTCTTTTATATTTTTGATGATGCTGAATTCTTTCTTTTCATCGATAAAATTTGAACTAATATCAATAAAAAAAATAAAGAAGTGCTTTAACACAAAAAGTACATTTACAGGTAACATTTTCTGATCATTTTGCGGTTTATGCATAGAATTTTCTTATTTGTGATTGTTTCTGCCAAATTTTGTATATAATCGCATAACCACTCAATTCTGCTTATAATTTTGATCTTAGTTAGTAAGTTAGTAAATTTGAACTATTTTGTTACAGGTTGTAGTAATCGAGTGTCTCATGCATCTTTAAAATCTCTGGAAATATTTTTGAAGTCATTTGCTTCTTCTATTTCAAATAATAACTTAGGACTAAAAAATTCTGTTGGTCATGAATCACGAATTCTAGAATGGCTTTTTTCTAAAAAATCAGAAGATAATGCGGTGTTTCAAATTCTCTCTGATGATGTTGATATAGATGTTTTTGAAGTATTTGCAGAGGTAGCTGCTTCTCTCCTTTTGCAGTCTAATGAAAATTATGAATGTTTTGTAAAAGATGAAATGCCAGGTAAACTTTTTTTCTTTGATCAATAACCTAAATGTTACAAATTATTAAAAATTCTCATTTCTCCATATTATTTGTTTTAATTAATGTATTTTTATTGTTATTTTTTAATGTAATAATAGAACATAATTTATTAATGAGGATATCAATTTACATAGGGACTTTAAATCCCATTTTTAAAATATAAATGAAACCATATTTATTTCAGCTCTTTCCCTCTATGACAAATTAAATTATTTTTATTTAATTCTTTAGAAGTTAAAAAGTAACTAAAACTTTTCTTTATTGTGGCAAAGTATTTTCACTTCTAGTTTGACATTCTTTTTCTTTTTTCCAGCAATTTATAGTTGTATGTTCATTATTTATGACAGTTTCAGCTCTATTTTTTTAGTGGGTTCTAATGGGTTTATTGTAGAGATGTACAGAGCTCTTACTTTTGCCTGGTGCCTAGGGAAATTTAACTTTTTACTCTGCCGGTTTTGGGGAGTCATCAAAAGTTTTATTTGTTACTAGGCTGCTTTTGGGTACCCGATAAAATTTGGAGTTATTACATGGCGTAGATAGATATAGTTTTAAGAAATTTATTGTGTGCCTATATAAATAAAAACACAAATATTATTTTTATACTTTGCTAAAATAAATTTCGAAAAATATTCAATGAAATCTGGATTGACTATCCAGATGTAAAATGATGAACCTTGCTATAAAGTTTGTTTCAGTTTCAGTGCTAATAAATATTTATTTATCCTAACAAGCAAGTAAAATTATTGTTTTCACTACAAAATTAGTTAAATAATCTATCACTCAGTATATTGTTTTAAACTTCCATAGCTGCGTTACTAAATACAGTGCACCAAAAGAAAAGAAAACTGATAATCCTGAATAACTTTTGATCTAAGGATCGGATCTTCATGTTCTAGGAAACATTCATAACGGCTCAAGGGGGTCTAATAACAAAATTTGCAGACGATTTTAAGTTACAAAATCAGACACAAAAACATACTTTCGCTAACTAAACATATCCATTTTTCATCGAATTCCAATTCCCGACACTCAAAATATATGAGGTAGCTGCAATTTGCGAAATATTTTCCCCCTTTTGAAAATTTTGAAGCCCTTAATGTTAATTTTACTTTTGCTGATTTTTTTTTTTTCATTTTAAACTGAGAAATTGATTTTTAAATATTTGACTTTTTTGAAATTCAGTTTCTCAGGAACTTTTATACTGATATCGCTCAAGTTTTGTATTTTGCCATATAAAATTGCATTATTTGAAATGATATAAAAATTGTTTACCTTTGAATTAAATTTTTTTTTGACCATTCTTAAATAAAATAATACGAAATAATTATTAACAAAAAGTTATTTTTTGCATTGAATTATTTTTGGATAAACGAATTTTAAAATTATGTGCAAAGATTTTTCAATTTGACATAGCGAAATACACAAAAAGTAAAATTAACATTAAGAAGTACAAACTTTGGAGTGCTCTCCTGTCTAAACTATTTTGACCATCTTTCCGAAATTGCGGCGTATTTAGGGGATCAAAAATCCGAATCTGTTGAAAATAAGACATGTTTATTCAGAGAAAGTACGTTTTTGTGTCTGATTTCGTAATTTAAAATATCATCTGCACTTATTAATTAGCATATTTGAGGTCACCCCCTCTAGCCATTTAGATTGAGTCCTAGAACGGGAAATTCTGATCGTTATACCAAAAGTTATTCAGGGTAATTCCGTTTTTTTTTGGCGCACTTAACAGGTTATAATGCAGAGTTAAAAATTTAAATAATTGTTTGATACAAAACCAGAAAATGTATTAATTTTATCCTTTTTATAATAGTATTTCATTCTGTAAATTAATTCAATTTCATCGAGGACTCCAACCCTACATAATTAGCTATGATCATGCTTAGCAACTCATGGAAAATTTCAGCCATTACTGAAGGATGGTATTATCTACTTTAGGAATCTAAATTTACAAAGAAGCATTTAAATTTGTAAAAATATCTACCCTTACTTATCTTTTTTAGACCATCTCCAGTGGATAAGTAAAATGGAAGATGAATTACTTCAATTAACATTTAATTTACCAGTTCAAGAGTTTAAGACTCCAAGTTGTAAAACACAGCTTACCCAATCTTCATTTTCTTCTATAAAAAATTCAGCTATGAAGGAAAAAGTTCTTAGTTGCTTTATTGAGGCCACTAGTACTTTATTTGAAGAAAAAAACTATAATTCTCAAGTAAGTTTTTCTTAAAATATTTTGCACTATTTTTTTCATAAAATTACTAATTAGTTACTCAAGGAAGTGTTCTAAATTCTTTTTTATTTATTAACATTTAAACAAATATATATTTCGTTATTAAATTTTAGTATTCGATTTATTTTCTGTTTTAGTGAAATTTTGATTTATAAAATATAGTTTTAAGATATCCTAGAATAGTCTGAAATTATTTTATATAATGATGCGTAGAGTTTTTATGCATAATAATAATAGCCTGAAAAACAATAATTTTTTTAAAAAAGATTACTTTCGCACAGTCGGAAATTGTTTTTATTAATCGTTATACAGTGTCCCTTTTTATAAAGTGATTACTTTAGTATTTGAAGATTTTGATTGCAATAACGGGGTGAGTTTGCTAACAGAATATCTTCTGAAAAATTTGATAGCATTTTCTCAGTATCGTATATATTAGTATTTAGTAACGTTATTTCACTTATATGTAATATAAGTGTTATAAGTTTAATTTCTAATAGAAAATTTTGAATGATTAAGATAAACTGTTTTATTGAAATTTAATGTAAATAAAGCTGAAGTTAAACAAATTAAAGTTCTCTTCATTGAGTAAAAATAAACAAAAACCTTTGTCATTCAAAAGTTAGACATTTAAAAAGTAAGCATTCTAATGCTGAAAATAAACCTGATAAGCCTTATTTTTCTAAAGTGATTAAAAATAGTTATTTAAGTGAAGGTGAATAAAAATATGATATTCCTGTGAACAGATGAACTTGAAAACAGACTCAAAATATTGCTGCTGGACAATTCCTAACTCTCCAAATCAATCACTCTTTTTCACTTTTAGTTATATTTCTATGAATGACCAAATTGCTTTGGTTCAAGTTTATGGTATTTATAATTCTGATTCTGAAGAAATTCAGTGTTATTGTATATAAATGATTCGATTAGCAGCTGATGCCACCAACCAGTGAGTTAACAAACTGACACTTTGTAGTCTTATTTATTCATATTAAAAAGCTATAAAATGAGCTGTTTTAATTTTTTTACTTGTCCAAATGTTATCGCTTAGTATAAAACTGTATGATAAATATATACATTCTTGAGATTTTAATTGATGGAGAAGATTGCAGTCATTTGAAGTAAGGGGAGATTTATTATTTTTAATGTAATTACTATTTTTAATTATTTTATTTATTATTTTTTGCAACATATTAATTTTATTGTAATTTTCTAACATTATGCATTCTTTTAGATGGTATTTTTATGTATATATTAACATAAAAAGAACAAGTTTTGTTATCAGTTTCCTAATTCCCATTAAAGTCATGCCATTCAATTTCAATATTTTACAGATATTTATATTGTTAACAATTTAAAAAAACTAACTTCCAACGTCTATTTTTGTTTTCAAAGTTGAACAAAAACTCTATATATATTTAAATTTTGATGCCACAGTTTTGAAAATTAAATTATTTCAATTTTATGTTATAACATATTTATATATAAATGCTTCTCTTAAATGTAATAGTTCAGCAATAGATATTATTTAAAAGGGACTTAATTATAGTGTTTTTAAAATTGGCAACTAATTGGCCTTAATATATTTTTTAAATAATTTTTCTTCAAAGTATAAAGGTTGATTTCCTTCTTTTTTTAGGTTTGTTTCACTCCTATTTTTGTGAAATATGCTCTCTTACTGTTTGAAATGCTCCAAACTTTTTACTTTAAAGGTGTTTTAAAAGTAGAAGATTTACAATCAAACCTTTTTATTTCTCATTTCAAAGTAAGTAAACTATTTGACATTTATTATGTTTTTTTCACAAAAAATTACTTCGCAAAATTTAATATATAACTTCAAAACTTACCGAAAATAACCTTCCACATTGGTATTGTAATATTTGGTAGCCTTTTTCTGTGTGCTTTATTCTCTATTCTGGATTCATTTTGTGCCTGCCCTTTGATGAATTTTAAACTGTGATTAAAGAAAAAGGAACACAAAGAAATTTAATTACATCTATAATTTGTATTTTATTTTATAACCAGTGTTGAAAAGATGCCCCATTTCTGGTGTAAATTATTTAGTGTTTCTATGAGAACTGTAGCCACACATGCTTCATGCCAGTTTCCACAGCTCTGTTAAAAATGCTTGATTCTTTCTCATATACCCTGTGCTTCACACCAGTCTGTGGAGGTAAAAATGGTAAAAGGAGGTTAAAGTTAAAAATTATAAATCACTGGTATGAAGCACTGTTTGGGGGGTCCCTGATGAAGAATTATAAAATTCCGATGTGTCCTCAATGTGACGTGTCACTCAGATTCTTTCTTTTATTTGTAAAATACGAAAATACATATGATAATCACAAAATATGCTTTGCAATAAAAAAAAATTTTTTCTATTAAAATGAAACATTATGTATTATATAGTTATTTTTACAGTTGAATACAGTTACAGAATAGATTTTTACTGTTGAATATTGAGTATGAGTTGTATTGAAAATCTGGGGTACAGACTTTATGTTTTAAATCCTCTATAGAAGAAATAGAAAGTTTTATAATCTTAAAGATGTTAAGCACACCTAGTGTAATATTATTTTCCTCTAAGCTCTTATCAGATATTAAGTTTTACTGAAAATGAAGGTAAACTTTATACCTATATTTCAATGCTTAGTTTATATTGGAAAGTAATACAGTTGAATGGAATATACTTAATTTAAATAAATAATATATTCCTAACTTATGAGTATATTTTTATATTTTAGAAAGTTTTCCTTGCTGCTTTTGAACTAAATCTAAAAGAAGAACGAAAACATCCTGGAAATAGCATTGTTGTTCTCTTCAAAAGAACCATTGAACGTATTGTTTCAGTTTTCAAAAATAAAAGGGACTCTCTTGAAATTGAAGCTTTTGATAAATTCATTTTTGCTGTTGCCAGTGTGATACCTTCTGACATTTTACAACTTCTTCTAAGTTTTAGTTTAGAGAAAATTAGCGATTCAGTAAGCGTAAGTTGTTCTCTTTCCTATCGTTATAAAATATAGTTAAACCTCAATACTATAAACTTAAAGAAAAAAGAAAAAAAAACTGAAATATCAAAAATTTATCATAAACCATAGATTATTAACAGGTAAATAAAGAAGAAAAGCTTTATTTACTTATTTTTATAGAAAGTGATTCATTTTTTTATTTACATAAGGATTCCAGTGCTGTTTCCTTAAGAGAAAAATGAGATATTTTATCACAATGACACTTTCTAATTGGACAAAAGTATCTCTTACTTTTTCTAGAACTTTTTAGAATAAAGGAGATCATAAAAGGATGGTTGGTCTTCATATATGTATGTCAATTAAATGAAAAGAGATAAGGAAACAATAAACAAGGTAGTTCCTTCCCCTCTTGTGATCTTCTTGCACATTTTTGTGGTGTAATGCAGAAATGTAATGATTTCAGATTGTGAATGTCTGCGATCATTGCAGTTCTGCGCTTCAAATTTTCTGCACGATTTTCCTCCTGATATATTTTCAAATAGCATTTCAGTTTTTTAAAAATTCCTGTTTTCCAGAATTTTATTTTTTATCTTTAAATTTATTTTTATTTACTTCTTTTGAAAAGAAATTCAAGTTATCGAGAGAAGAGGAAACAAAATTAATCGAAGCAGGATTTTCTGTTCATTGAGTCCTTAAATTTGAAGCAACATTCGTAAAAAAGAGGTTTAATTTAGTGAGGTTTAACTATATAATGTACTCATTTAATAATAAGGTTTGAATCAATTGTGCTGTAGAGTTTTCTTTAGTTTTTTAAAGATATTTTTTTTTATAGAACTCATCATGTGCTCCTACTGAACTTCCTGGAGAAAATGGTCATGGTTTTATACGCAAGAAGAATAGATATGCTATTGTAGATGAAAACTTAGATGATGAAAGTGAAACTTTTGAACCCAATTTGAAATTTATAGGTACTTTAAAATTAACCAAAACTCAAATTGTATTTTGTATTCTGTATTGTATTTTGAATTTTTTATGATTCCCCCCTTCCTATTTTATTAAACGAGAATGCTCTACTTTTTGAAGTGACTTATTTAGGTATTAAGGCCTCTATTTATTATTTTTATATCATTATTGCTATTGGCTTTATATTTAAAAATAAAATTACGTGAAATATTTAAATGTAACTAAATATTGCTTTTAAAATTTGTATTATCAAATACTGTATTAATGAAAAAGGAATTATGATCTGATAATCTCCTGAAATATCTGAATCAAACCTTTGTTTTTGTTGGAATTTTTCTTTAACACTGCAATTCAAATAAAATTAACTTATATTTACTTTTTATACTTTAAATTTTTTTCTTATCTAAGTACCATATATTTTAATGAAATGCGTATAATTATATTTCATGTATTTAAAAAAATAGATTTGAATTGAAAGATAATAAAAGAAGAGAAAAATCATTTTAGCTTTGAATGTTAATGTATTTTATAATATTTTCCATAGTTCAATTGATGCTTAATTTTAGATGCTGCTGGATTATTTGATTGGGATAGTTTATCTGAAAATTTTAAACAGCAGATTCAGTGTCTTGAAATTGTTGGTGAATACTGCAGTTTCATTACTGCTAATACAGCTTATAAAGTTCAAGGCAGCCTACCAGAACAATTATTACAGAAACTGTTACCCCTTGTTAAAGAAAAAAGTCAAAATGTTAAGACTGTTTACGATATTCATTTAGTAAGTAATTTTTTATATTTGCGTAGGTGTTTTGAATTTTTCTTTAGCTTTAAGTTTATCTTGCTCCTTTAACTTAGTTTTTTGTTATTTCCTTTGACTTGTGAATTGCTATTTCTTTTATTATTACTTTATCTCATATGTTTCTCATAGTGTTTATGTTGCAGTTAGTAATTTTTGCATTTCATTTTGTATATTGATCTATGTTTTATAAACTAATTCTAGAAAAATGTGTTATTTAACAAATATACTAACAATTTAAAAAGCTTAAAAAATGTTTATTCCTTTAAGCGTTTTTTTTTAAGCCTTATTGACAATCCTGAATTTAGCTTAGGATAGGATTGAGTTATTATTATAATTTTTTTGCACTGAAAAGAGGCTTTTTTCCATGTTATTCATTATTATTCATTATATTTCCATACTAATTAAAGAAATTTTGCTAGCCATGAAAATTTCTGTAAATTCGTATCATGCAGTTCTATAAATTTCAGCATCATGCGGCATGCCAATTAACGAGGTAAAGACAATATATTTCATGCTTTTATGCTTAAAATCTATTTATGTTTTAAAAAAATGCAACTTGCTCATTTTCATGTGTACATGCTGTAAAGCATTATTTGCATTAAATTTTTTATCAATATTTATTAACTTTTTTTATTTATCTTAGATATATAAAGCAATGCTTTGATGAATTAGAATGTGTGTAATTACCAAAATTAGTCATCCATGTGCATTTAAATAATATTTACAGAAACATGCTAGCTGTACCAATTACCCTACATAAGTCACGTCTAACAGTATAACTGTTATTTTTCTTAGTAAATTACACCAATCACTGTTCTTCATTTTGAATCACAAATTTATTTTTAAAAGAAATTTACCAACTAGCTTTAAAGCAAATTTTTAACGAAATCCATTCGAACTTTCTTTAAGAGCAAATTTTTGTTTTCCTAAAGCAAAAAGTATAAGTATGGTTAAAGTTATTTATGTCTGTTTTTTTGAAAATAGAGAGAACAATAGCTTAAAACAGCTCTAAATTTGTAATAATTCCTGTGTTCTAAATTATTTTGAAGCACAGCTCTAAACTGCTTCAAAATACCAAGCATCTAATCAAAGCACTGCATTGATATCAAAAAAGCTCATAAGACTCGAATATGAGTGTATAACCTGTGACCTGGAAGTCAAATAAGATCCTCAAATTGTTTATATTCATCCCTATTTATTAGCTAAAAAATAAGTATATTTTATCGCATATTTTTGAATGCATTTTATAAAATTTGTTAATATTTTTAATAAACTCTGAGAAAACATCTAAACTGTTAAAAAAGAACACTTATTAAATTAATAAATTAGTAACATTTCAGAAAAAAACAAATGTAGTCTAAATTTTAAGAATTTAAGATTGAGTTTATCCATAACCAAAATTATAAAAATTGTTTCTTGTTAGATGTTTAAAATTGGTATTAAAAACAATCTCTGCAAACCTTGAATATTTTTACAATATGATATTTATAAATGTTTATCAGGTTCTTATTAATTTAAGTTGATTAATACTGATAATAATTAGGTTGATTAGGGTATATTTTTTAATTATGTAAAAAGTTCAGATAATTTTAAGCATTGAAAAAATTAAAACAAATGAAATTGCTTTTATTTTTTTTGTATTGCAATATTTTTATTGTATTGTTGGAGGCCAATAGTTTAGCTCAGTTGTCCTCCATTCAAAAAGCTTATGCACTAGTAGAATAGAAAATTTCTATTTATTGGGTTGCAAGAAATCAAAGACAAATATATTTTTGGATTCATTATAGAAAAAATAACATAGCTATTAACTTTTTTGTACTCAATGCATTTCAAACTAGCATAATTTGTATAAGCATAATAAGAAGAATTTCAATAAATTATGTTTTTTTTTTACAGGCATTATCATCTTTGAAATGTATTTTGCTTATGAAATATTTGGAGGATGATGTTGTGGAATCTGTATTAAATGCTGTGAAGTAATTAAATGTCATACAGTTTCAATTTTTCCCCTTTATCTTTTATAATTGTTTAATTTTGGTTTCCTGTTTTTTTTTAGATTTCTATTGAACCAATTCAGTGGAATGCAAAATCTTTGCTCATCTATTCTAAATATCTTTCCTTATCTCCATTGTCATATTTTTCAGTCTTCCTCTTCTGTGAAACAGCAACGCAATAAATCCCGCTTTCTTTTTTTGATTAAAATATTATGGTAAGGTACTAAAAATTTTGTATAAAAACTTTCTTTTCTACTTCTATTCAGTTATTTAATTTAGTAGATGATCTTTCTATAGATATTTCTAATGCAAATGAAATGTGAAGATTTTCATTTCATAGAAGTTTCGTGTCATTTCGCATATCATTAAATTTACTTATCGACTGTTTGATGCAGAATCTTTATAAAATATATTTTTCACACTTTTTTTTATTATTAAGTGTTAATATAGGTGAAATAAATAAATAAATAATGTTATATTCAGCATTCTAATAATTTCTAGTTATGAAATACTACATGATGAAGCATCAATGTATTTTCTGTGTTAATAGTAAAATCTTCAAAACATGCCTCACTTCTAAACAATAATTTTTCAAATTCGCAGTTATTTAAACCTAAGAGAAGCAGTTATTCATCATTGAAAATTTTTTAATTTGCAAAATCAATTATTGATAAATTTTTGAATATGAATGGAAAAAAAAATTCTAGCTACTTTTTTTTAGATTTTATGTTTTAGTACATATATATTTCCAATAATGTAACATATTTTTTTAGTAACTATTAGACTGTTTTTTATAATTGAAAAATATCAAAATCTATTTTTGTTTGCAATTAGAGCGTGAGAAAAAATATATACTTAAAAAGAACACCTGTGCCGAAGTGTTAAGCATCATGATAAAAATATCTGAAGCAGATCAATATTTAAGTGTTCTGAAATAATTTTTCGAGTGTTCAGAATTCATTATATAGATCTTTTTTTAAATACTGAATGCAATACAATATCATCTAAAACTTTAAAACGCTTTTCCTGAAAACTATGTTTAAATTAATTGGATTAACTGATAACTAGAAAAATTCTAAGTCATACTTAATTTTTTTCGTATTGTCAAAGTCAAGGAAATGTTTGCAATAGACGTCAATAAAGCTTTTGTGATGGAATTCTAATTATCTTTATAAATGCATGAGCTTGTTTAAGCTTGAGCTTAATGTTGAAAATGTTTAGCTTGAAGCTGCGCAGAAAAATTTCGCGTATATAGCAATAATTGATTATGAAAACATAATGTAATATTTAAAAATATGAAAATATTTTTTATGCTATAGTAATGTAATTTGGAATTTAAATAATAGTTAATTTGTAGTACAATTTTTAATGCTTTATTTTTCTTACTTAATGATTTTTGCAATTAGAATGATTTTGCATTGATTCAAAATTTAATACAGTGGCTTTTTTTCATTTGAACATGGGTTTTTCAAATTATTGTATTGAGATTAAAATTAATTCCTTTATATTTCCTATTGATAATAAAAAGTGCTTTTTGTTTGGTTAAAAATATTTTTTTTTAATTTAGAGTTTTTAAACAGTGTTCAATAACTTCAACCTAAAGGTCAGTGTTCAATAATGTTCAATAACTTCACAACTAATTAGAAACACAATTTAATTTAGTAAATATTTTTTAAGAATACACTAATGATGTATGTTTCTAAGGGTCAGCAAGGATTGAACTGACTTCTTCTCCCTTCAAAGTAATCTTCATTGTGACTACCCAGTGCCTTGACACTGTTCCTTTGGAGCTTGGAATATCACACTAATGATCCATTTATATAAGTAAACTAGAGTTTAAAAGTAAACTTAATCATCACACTAGCTTGCAATTTGCATTGTTTTAATTATATAAATTTTTTATTGAAGGATTAGAGATTTTTTACCGAAGAAAGCTAAGGTTCTTCATCATTAACAGAAAATTTATATATAAATTATTCCAACTAAAAATACTGTTAAAAGAAGTACCAAAACAAATACCTCTTTACTGTTAAAAGAAAATACCAAAACAAGTATCAATAATAAAAAAATTTCTTACATACATTTCTATAGAGCAATCGAAACTATACTTTCTACTTTATTAAAGTTCTTAACTTTCATTTCATGAATTTCATAGTATGTCCAACAATATTTTTGATACCAGTAGTAATAAATTATTCTAATCATATTTACAATATGACTTTTGATACTTTATCTAACGGGCTTCTTTACATACATTCTTTAATCGTATATTATATCTTCAGTTATTTTGGATCAGATTTCATTTAAATTTTATTAACCCTTTGATGCAAAAAATTTATTAAACATATGTTTACTACTTTTTTCCATTATTTTGTATGAAATTTAGGTCAAAATAAGTGAAAAATATTATATTTAGCATTTTAATAGTTTATGGTTTGAAATACAGCATGAAACACTGGTGTCTTTCTCTATATTAAAGGTAAAATTTTCTAAAAGTTGCTCACTTCCAAAGAATAATTTTTCAAATTTGCAGTTATTTAGATTGAAGAGAAACATGTTATTCGTTATTTAAATTTCTTTAATTTATAAAATCAATTATTGATTTTATAAAATCAGTTATGTATAAAATACATTTTTGAATATGGATAAATATTTTATTTTCAAGCTACTTTTTTTGTATATTTATTATATTGTAGTACAAATATAATTCCGATAATCTATCAAATTTTTAGTTAATATTAGATTGTTTTTTATAATTAAAAAAATACCAAAATATTTTTTTGCTTGTTTTTAGAGCATTAGGAAAAAATAAATAAAAGGGACACCGGTGTCCCAGCTGCGCCAAAGAGTTAATTCTAATGCTTGTATTTATTTCATAATTTCTATCACATTATCAAGTATTCCATAAGTAAAGTTTTAAATATATTCAATTTAATTTTCAATTTTTAAACTAGAGTAGCTTATTAGTTTCTATAAGCAAAATGTTTTTTATTTTGCTGTAATTTATTGCTAGTAGAGCTGCTGCATTTGAAGGGATTGATTTTATAATATTATTAACTCAATAATTTTCAATTTATAGCCAAAATGAACTGGAAGAAAGTAAATCACCTTCTATTTCTCTTCTTGTCACCAAGAATTTACATTCTATATTAAAGGTATGCTTTTATGTTATGAAATTGTTTTTATCTATATAAAATGAAACATTTGTGTTGGTACAATATGAAACTCAAGTAACAGGTAATAATTAACTTTAATTTCTTTTATAGCTCATGTGAATAAATTATATAAGCTTTTGAACTTAAAACTTAATTATTTTTCTTGTTATGTTATTCTTTAAAAACATTCTGGATGACTAAGTTAAGTAAATATTTAATGCAGGGTTGCCACAGGCGACTAAAATGCGACTANTTAAGGTGGGAACATTTCTGGATGACTAAGTTAAGTAAATATTTAATGCAAGGTTGCCACAGGCGACTAAAACGCGACTATTTGCAACTATTTTCGACTTGAGGCAACTATGGCAACTATTTTTGACTGAAAAGGCTAAAAAAGCAACTGTTTTCGGGAAAAAGAGACTATTGGGAGACTTTTCTGTGCTTCTCGCGGTGTTTTTTTTATATAGCATAAATTGGGTTGACAACCTGCAGCCCGCGGTAGCTTCTGAACATAATGAATTATTTTTCGTGAAAAATAAAAAAATTTTGAATTGTAAATTTGACTCATCACTTTTTAATGAGCTCAATTTGCACAGCTTCCAATGTGAATCTATTTTGTTTCTCAGTCGCCTTTTCAACAGTTATTGCTACGAAATTCTTCACGATTTTAAAAAACCCTATCTTTAATACAATATTATGATGCGTGAATTTCGAATTTTAGTAATAATTTTTCAGTATATATATATTTGCTAAATCAATTATTGATAAAAGGGAAAATTTTTTAGAAAGAGTATGTTTTTCTTTAACAAAAAATTATTTTTCTGAATTAATTCTAGTATTTAAAAGTATTTAATTTTCTGCTAATATAAAAATTTTTTTATGTAAAAATTTAGTGCTGGAACACTAACGTTTACTTTAAAATTATCATATTGACTATTATCTTGACTAATGGATCATGGTATATTACAATGAAGTCATTTAATAAAATTTTAGTAATATTGATATATTTTTGTTCTTATTTAGGCACCTATTTTCATAATTTTAGGCGACTATTTTCATGCTTTAGGCTACTAAAAGCAACTATTTTGTTCATTTTTTTCTGTGGCAACCCTGTTAATGTGATCTTTTTCTTTTTAAAGAAAGGTAATATTTTTGTAGGTAGAACCCACTGCAACTTGGCCAAGTGACGATAAAGGACTAAATGGCAGCTTTAGTGATAACAATACCATTTTGATGTCTTTTTCTAAATTTTTGAACAGTTCCTATGTTTCTGTACGTTTATATGTTTCTACTGAAATAAACCATTCAATTCCCGTGACTTCCTTAGAAGCTATTTATGAATTTGCTTGTTGTGAAATCTTCAACTATTTACAAAAACAGGTGAGTTATGCTTTTCACTTGAAATACAATATAGAGTTTGTGATTATTTTCTTTAGAAACAAATTCTCAGTTAATTTGAAAATACTGTTATAAAACCTGGAGCTTTGTGAAAAAAACATAGTCACTCTTAGATATTCTCGGAGTATTAGCAGTATATTGATCGAACAAAAAGCTATTATCATTGTGTTATAATTTTTTATCTGGCATTAAAATTATTTTATCTAATCAACAATAACTAATCATATATTTCTAAATTTATCCTATGGTTTTGTTATTTTTACTTTCTACTAGAAATTTCTTGTTAAATTTTAAATTACCTTTCTAAAAATATTATAATTGTAATAATTTATTCCTTGCTAAAGTTTTTAATCAAATTTAAAATGTTGTTCGATTCAAATTAAATTTGATTTCTCATTAGATTCTCTCAACTGATTTTGTTCAAATTTTGTATTTTGACATATAAAATTTCATAATCTGAAGCTTTTATTTATCCCCCCCCCATAGGATAAACATCCGGATGATTACTTAAACAGAATTAGTACCTTTTTTCACTATTTAAGTCAGTTAATGTTGGAGTTTCCTTGTTTTACTAAAGAATCTTTATTCATGATATGTAAAGTGGCTCACACAAAAAAAGTTGACCAAGAATTAGTATATAAGGTAAGATTTAAACATTCCAAATTTAAAATTGATTGTGGTAAAAAACTAAGAATTTTCATTTTTAAAATGTAATTGTGTCTTTTCTTGTGTATTTGTTTTAGGTTATAATGCAGCTATCATCTGTGTTCGGTTACGATTCTCCAAGAAATTTTATTGAAACACACCTGGAGTATATCTTTCATCGATGGATCATGGCTAAATACAGTTTGCTTGAATTTCCCTTTGCTATTCTTGAGGATGTGAACTGCAATGAATTTTTAATGTATGGAAGTTAACTAAATTAATTTAGACATAAATTTTAGATAGAGATAATAAATAACAGGTCAGGGGTTATTCCGTGTAATTTATTCAAAGAAACTCAAACGTTTTGTGCATACATATTTAGGAATTTGTATCATCTTGACATTAGACATACAATGCTGTGTTTCTTAAAAGTCTTTGGTTGCTGTTTAGGTCATTTGTACAGCACGCTTGTTCTAGTCTAATTTGTAATAATTTGAAAGCTTTTTCTCTGAAAAGGTATATCATAAAATGTAAATAATTTATAACTTATTAAGGTATCATGAGAAGAAATCATATGAAATACTAATAAATTTTCTTTATATATTTTTGAGTGATCCATATATTTGTTGTCAAGGTTAAATCTTCCTAGGACTTTCAAACATTAAATGTTTGAAATTCCTAGGAAGATGTAACACTAACTAATGCTCTAGTCCCATGCTGACTTAAATAATTAATTTTATAATTTCTTGTGATGCTATTAAAGTAACAAAAAAATCTTTTGTTCTATGATTTTGTGGATTAAAAGAAAAAATATCAACAAGCAAACACATAAAAGTTATCAGACTTATACACTTGACATTACTAGACGAGACAAATAGATGGAATCAACTGACCATTCTTAGGTTACGCTAGACAATGCATAGCAAACAGCTTACGCAGAGCCATCTATTATTAATATTTTACACAACTTCATTGTTTGTATGAAATTAGTGTTGCTGTAGTGTTTTTTTAAGCTCATTGAAAATTGGAAAGTTCTATGGAGACAGACATGGACTAAGGAGTCACAATTCAGGATCACTATTTAAATTTTGATAGAAATTGCTTCATTGTCTTGTCTTAGTGTTGTTTTGCAGTAGTAGTATACATTGGAAAGTTTAAAGTGTCGCATTTAATTGGTGATCAAATCTTGGGTAACATTTTCAAGTACTGCTGATCATTGACTTAAGCTTCATAGCTCCAAAAAATCAACAAGAATTTGTCTTTTTTTTTCATTTGTCTCTCCATTACACATTTATTTTAGAAACAAAATGAGTGGACTGCCAGATATCTGAATTATCATCCTTTTATCATTACTTGAATGACAAGCACTGTCATTCATTGAGTGTAAAGAATGAATCCTTTTTGTCACACCAGCAACTACATTTCAAGCATGTTTCTGTATTTCTAAATAATATAGTTTTAGCTTAATGGCCTTTGTTTAGTTATTCATTGATCCTCCAATATTGTTGACATGAAATTAATTTTCTTAACTTCTTTATTTTAGAAATTGTTATACAGTTATAGTGCCTATTCTATTTTTCAATGATGATATGTCATCAATTTCTGGAATCGCTGATAGACTCAAACTGAGTACCTCAGAAATAATTTATGCAAGTTTGCCAAAGATACAAGCTAGAATCCTATCTTTTTGGCCACAGTCTAATCTTAGGAATAAAGCAACTAAAGCTAAAGCACTCCTAGATTCTGTTGTGCCTGTTGAAGTATGTAATTAGATTATTACAATAATTTTTTCTTTTAAGGAATTTAATATTTTTGATTTTTGTTATAATTTTGCTTTAATCACATTTTGCCATTTTTTTTTACCTGCATTACATTAATGCACCAATTTTTCTATTTATTTTGTATCTTTACATTTATTATACACTACCGGTCAAAAGTTTGCGAAAATTTTGAAATTCACAAAGAAAAGATCTAAATTCAAATGTTCATAGAACTGCGAAAAATCATTCAAATTGCATGAAAATTTGATATGTTCTAAAGTGAGTCCTCTATAGTTAGTTACATATGATTAAATTGCTATACTTTGTTTTTTGCGAACTGAATCCAGCTTTTCATCACTGGTTGTTTTTATGGTGAAAAATTTTTCTAAATTTGAACACTTGCCAAACTTGCAAAAAACATTTTTTGTACTTTCTCTTAATGGATAATAGTTATTTGAACCGTTCTATGTAAGCCCTCAAAATTTAAGATCGATTTGATTTTTTTTTGTGACGAAGTTATAGAATTTTGAAAAACATGTGTACTTTTCTTGATTTTTGAGCATTCCACATATGCAGTCTTTTGGTCTATACATCTTCAACCAAAGAACTTTTTAATTTTAATGTTTTCTATATTTTCAAATAATTCATATTTATTATAAAACAAATATTCTTATTCATTATTGTAATTATTGTTATTACAAGGAACTTATTATGAATATAATTATAACTTTTATGGGATCATTTGGATCGACAAATTCGATGCTCTGATATTTCGAATCGAAATCAGTTAGGGGACATTTTACAACAGGAATGGAACTCTATATCACTTGAAGTGATTAATGGTTTATTAGAACGAATGCTATGCATATGTAAGGCTATAATAAAAGCAAAAGGTGGATGGTTCGAGGAATCTAAGATTTAAATGTTAATTTATTTAATTACAAAATACGAATAAGAATATGTTAAATATTTGACCTGTTGTAAATAAANATGAATAAGAATATTTGTTTTATAATCAATATTAATTATTTGAAAATATAGAAAGCATTAAAATTAAAAAGTTCTTTGGTAGAAGATGTATAGACCAAAAGACCGCATATGTGGAATGCTCAAAAATTGAGGAAAATTAACATGTTTTTCAAAATTCTATAACTTCGTCAAAAAAATCAAATTGATCTGAAATTTTGAGGGCTTACATAGAACTGCTCAAATAACTATTTTCTATTGACAGAAAGTACAAAAATGTTTTTTTGCAAGTTTGGCAAGTGTTCAAACTTAAAAAATGTTTTCACCATAAAAGCAACCCATGATGAAAAGCTGGATTCAGTTCGCTGTAGAGGGTTCACTTTAAAACATATAAAATTTTCATGCAATTTGAAGGATTTTTCGCAGTTCTGTGAACATTTGAATTTAGACTTTTTCTTTGTGTGTTTCAAAATTTTTGCAAACTTTTGACCGGTAGTGTATACAGTCCTACTTGTGGCATATATGGTTTGAATGTTTATATTTGCTTTAAAGATGACTTAATTTCAAGAAAGTTAAAGTAGAAATTAAAGAGCTAGGTATCATTCAGAATTTATATATTAAATATTTAACTTTACAATCGTGGAGCCTCAGGGTTAAATTGAACTGAAATTTTCCTACTACACTCTACTGTCCTATGAATAACATGGGGAAGACTAATTTTTTGACACAGGAAAGCCATCAACTTTAATATTTGAAAAAGACGTGACATTACTCAGGAGGTTAAAATATAACACTGTTTTTAAGCATAAACATTAACCGAATTTGCAAAATTTATTTTTAATTCAAGAAACATTAGAATTTTTATCCAAATTTTCTTAGTTAATTTATTTTTAAATAGTTTATTATTTTTATTTGGAATTAAGAGCTTTAGTAACAACTTTAATAACTATAAAATATATTTTATTATTTGTCTGAGCTTATTTTAAGGTTGGGGTAAAAGTAGTAATACAAATTTTTATGTATTTGTTTTTTTTAAAAAAAGTATTTAGTCTGTATAAAATTATATAATTTAATGAAATCCTTGTATAGAAAATACAAATATTTATTAAAGTTCCAAGTTGTGTCTATACTAGATAACTCTTCTTTGATGTTAAGTAAAGTTCCTGACATAGTTAGATAGTTATGACATGACAATAAGCAACTTCAAAATTGTATGGAAGAAAAAAATGGTTTAACTTGATACGGTTTCTCTCCAATTTGCCTTTTTACTCCATATCAAAATCATGTCAACTATATCGAGCTATATTTCGTTTTATACCAGTTGAAGTACGCCAAAATTGTGTAAATTACTGATTGCCTAATTAAGCTCTTAAATGAAGCTCTTTATGAATTTTAATTTTAGTTTATGTGCAACATTTTCTAAAGTAGCTTTAAAAAATCAAAAAAAATCAAAAAATGAATTATTTACTTAGCTTAAATAACTTGATCAGAATGCCCATTGTAATTATTGTAATTCTTAGAAAAGTAATTAATCCACAAAATTTATGGTTATTTAACATTATTTTACATAATATAGATACTTTTTGTAGTTGAAATCTATTGTTTTAAGCAACAACAAAAAAAATACATGCCTGTAATTTTGAAATTCTGTTAGATGAGATGCCTTGTCGATTCCTTTATGTTAAGCCTAGAAGGAAGTTTTTATTTAGTCTCTTTTCGATGAGTTTTAACTCTCAGCCAATCATAAATTGTTAAACATATGTCTCAACTCTGACTCGGTTAGATTGAGGATTCTAATATTAAGGGAGTCATATGATTCTAAATTGACTGAATCTCTCTCGTGACTTATTATATTAAGGTGAAAGGAATGCTTCTGTCTTTTAATCTTATACCTTAATGGCACCTTAATGAATTCCAGCAATTAATAAATCAGTCATGGCACAGTTGTTAAGAGACTGAGCTATCATTTTGAAGAAATGATGCTCTATCCCCGAAGGTAGCTTGAAGCCCACTCAGTTGCTGATCAATTGGTCTTAATTGATCAATTGCAGACCAGCTTGTCTGTGAACCAAAGACGACTGGTGCATAATCTTGTTCACATTGTTACCATTGCCATCTTTAGACACCAAATTGTGTAACTTTAACCTCTATGACCTTCCTGTCCCTCGGTGGGCTGTTGCAGGTGTGTTTTATTTTATTTTTTAAAATTAGTTTATCGATTATTCCATCTGTGCTATGAATTTCAAAATTTAGACTATAAAAAAGATGGTTCTTAATTGTCTACAATATTTCTAACAATTTTTTTAAAACATATGTACTGCCAACAGCTACACAGTATACACAGCTGCCAAATAATTTAATATAAATGTTTTGATTTAGGTTAGTGAAGCAACTTTTCATAGCAAGCTAGATTTGTTTTTTATATCTTTACTCTCAATGTTGAAGGATAGAGAAACTTCTCATTTGTAAGTGAAAAATTACTTTAACTATTTTCATATATTTGTATGTTAGTAATATTTTAGCATTAAAATTTGAGATTGATTGTAAAATTTAAATTTAAGACACTGTAGTCATAAATATACTTTATTCTGAAGTTTTGCATTTATTTATTTATTTGAAAATTCTGAAATATATTTTTTATTCAGAATTAACTATAGTAGTTTTTATGTTATATTAAATTTTCATTTGATTATAGACCAAAATGTCAATTGACTGAACCATATTCCTTAACCTATGAAGACCTATTAGGAACTATTTCTTATATTATGTCCAATCAAGAGTTTAATGGATCATTCATTGCATTTTTGAACATGCAAAAGGTAAGATTTCTATCTTTTTTATAATTTTCTTATTTAGAAAATGAGTTTATTAGAAGTATTAAAATATGCATTGCCAAAAAGAAAAAAGGAGAAATTAATATGAGGTGAAATTTTTATACAAAGTCTTGATTTGACTTGAGTAGGTAAAAGTAAAATTAGTAGCAGTAATAAACACCTAACCAAAAAAAGTAAGTTATAAATTTTAAAATTTATAATAGTCATAAACCTTTTTTTTTGTTAAGTTTAAAAAAATATCACCAAGCAGGTATTTTTTATTTTACAACCATTGTTGAACAGCCAACCCAATTTTTGGGTTTACGACTACTGATATTTGACTTTGTTGCCTTGTACTCAATCCAGAAGACAAGGGAACTTCTAGATCAAGTATTGGGAGAAATTTTGTCTTCGTGGTGGACTTTTTGATGGAACTAACCCGCATTTGCGTTGCATGGCGGGGAAGACCATGAGAACCTTCCAAGGTTAGCCTAACGGCAAAAGGACTCTAACCCGTGATCCATCTACCACTGAGGATATTTCATGCCAGCACTGTGGTCGATGCAAGATGGGTGAAGATTCATATCGACCAGCTATCACTGGGTCCCGGTTCAGCTAATTGGAACGCGGACGTTCTGTCCCCTGAGCCATTGCGGCTCACCAAACAGGTATAAGCTTGATTAGTTGAGAATTGTGTGCTTGACATAATTACTTTGTTGGGCTTTAAAACAGGCACTTGGATGAATAGTCAGCTATGCTGATCACTGTATTAATCCCTAACATTAGTTCCCAACCAGTTTTTAACCATGTGCAGTCTGCAAGTGCTGCAAATTTTTGTACATCTTTTTGGGTAAAAAATTGAAGTATATTTTTCATGAGTATATTTATGTAATTAAGTGATATTTTGATTGTAAAATGTTCTGATTGTCTTTCAAAAAATTTCCATTAAGTATTTGAAAGTAAGTTCGGTTCTAGTGACTTACAGCTCTGAAAGCAGGGAATTTCATTAGTCTTATCCAATTGAAAGTGGTGTTTGCGTTTTTAACTTATATATTCGTAAGTTTTTTTAATATATTCAAAGCATTTCTTATTCTTTTAACCGATAACAAGAGTTCTTAATACCTTAGTATCATCAAGAGTTTTTAGAATTACATATTTATTGCTATAAATACTCTTTCTAAATGTTACATTTTAATAAAAGTTTGATATTTCTAAATATTTTTCATTGTTTTTTCAAACATAAATTCCTGATTAGAATTACGAAATATCTATGTTCCTATATACACTTGAGATACACTTACAATCTGCTTTATAATTTTTCCATTCAAATACTATGAATGCTTGATATAACAAGTCAGGTACATTGCGACAAGTCAGCTATTATTACAAGTTTCAACTCAGCATCAAAATGCTAATTTTATTGATACAAAAATTGTATGTTTATAATGAGTTAATTTTCAGCTTTCTATTTATATGAGAATTTTTTTGACAATATTACATTTTTTTGTTGTTTTAGTTAGCAATATTATACAAAAAAGGCCAAAATAAGTGAAAATTTTTATTTCTAGTATCAATTATAGGTAAGAGAAAAACGAACTTTATATCACCTTATTTCTTTCTTACAATTTTAATAGTTTATATTTTTGAAGACAACATGCATAGGCAATCACGAATATGTTTTTTCTTGATCAAATATCTACCATGTTTCCTCATGTCTCTTCTTTTAGTTTACAATTGAAAATCTGCTATATAACTTCCATAATTGTTTTCAATTATTGTTATAATGGACTTTTACTGTAAATTGATAACTTTTTTTTTATGTTTAGGATCGTATTCAGAATATTTTATTGTCTTTGGCCATAAAACTTTGCAATGCAGTTACAGCACATCAAGAAGGACATATTTTGTTCATGTATCTCAGTTTCATAGAGCTGCTTGCCCCCGAAATCAATGATATTTGTAATTGCAACATATTTGTTATAAAAGAAACTGTGTCTACTATAATTAACTTCATGAATGAAAAACAGTAAGTATAAAACATTTAAAAAAATAATTATAACTTAATAAGTAATAAGAATTCTTTTAATTTTAACTATTGGATCTAAGTGTAAAGCCTGTTTTAATAGTAAAATACACTTTCAACATTCTAAATAATATTCATAGTAAATAATCGGTAGCTGCATTTTTACATGGTGGTAATATTGTGTATTATTGAAGAGGTACAGATATTAAGTAGTCACAGCAGCTATCTATTTTAGAATATGTTTATTTATAAAGAGTATAACAGTTTTTTTCTCAAAATATATTGTGAATTAATTGCTGCTTCTAATTCTTATTGATATTTTAATCCAAATTGTGGATATATGTTCTTAAAAGTATATTTGATTTTAAGTGTTTAATAACTTGACACTTTTGTAACTTTTTAACTTCATGTATGTGTCGATGAGGGACTGGATCTGGACTGCTGTAGCCTCTTCTACATTAACTATTTTTTTTCTTTATATTTCAAGAATCATAATTTGAAACAGTGAGACCAGGCAGGTACTGTGTACTGTTTGAATGAGGACATAGTTGATTTTTAAAAAAATAAACCTAATTTAGTATTTGTTTAATTTTAAAGACAGTAACAATCTATAACTTGTGATAAAAATGTGAAAATGTTTTGTAAAAGTTCTATTGATTAATAAGTAAGTCACATACTGGTTTCTTAATATTAAACGAGATTTCTTATGAAGTGGTTCTGATAATCTTTGTCAAAACAATGAAATAATATTTTTTTTTATAATCATCAAAAAATTCTATATATTTTTTTGAAAAGTAGTTGTTAAGAGTTTAAAGCTTTTTCTTCTTAAACTTGATCTTGCAATTGTGGCTGAATTGATTATATTATTTTTTACAATGCAATTTTAAAATGAATGCTTTTTTTTCTTTCTAGAAAGAAGCAGAAAAAATATGAAGCCTGTGTTAAAAATTGCTGTGATATTCTGTACTGTTTATTTAAAGCAACTATATCAAATTTTAAAGAGGTAATAAAAGTACATTAATCAGTCAGACATGAAAAATATGTTTTCAGAGCTCTTAATAATTAATAAAGGGAATAAAACTTCAAATTTTTTTTCTATTCATTTTGATTTTCAAAATTTTTTTTCTACCTCATTATAATTAATTTTAATTGTGATTTACATACATAATACTTTTCCAGGTTACTACAACTAAATTGTATAAATGTTGTTCATGTTATTGTGATTAATTCACTCTGATACTAAGAAAATAAAATAATTTCTGAATGTCTATATTGTATTCTCAGTACTTAACGGTACAGTTTCTTTGAAGCTTATGGTTTTAAAAGGTTTTTATATTTAGCTAGCAGAAGATTCTTGATTCCCTGATTCTAGTTGTGATTTAAACAACATCTTAAAAAGAATTTATATAAAATTTTTGTATATATTTTATTAAAAGAGATATTTTTTTTGAATACTGGAAATAATTTAGTGCATGGTACATTTATCACATAAGTTTTTATTTTAAGGATTTTTTTCTTGGTAACTAAAGTTTTTTTATTTCATGTTATTTATTTATTATTTTTTTTATAAAGCAGATGCTAAGTTTTTAGATCTATTTAATTTTCATTTAAAAATTGAAGCGATTTTTCATTTTATTATTAGTAGATGGTTACTTTATTATTAATAGTTGCTTTTACTATCAGTATAGATGAAAAATTATTGTGATTACAACGTACATAATTTCTTTGATGCATATTTACATGAATTTTTTATATTCCGTGGGTGGGGCAGTTGTCATTTTCGTGATAATTATAGATTCCATGAACCTAAAGCATCCTATTCTGTGTCAGAATTAGTAAGACTGCTTTTATTTCAAACAAAATATATATGTTCTTCTTTTGTGCCATTCAACCAAATATAATTCCATTTGTTGGCAAAAAAATTCTCTTTATTTTTGTTTAATGGGATACCTGCCAGTGATGTAGTGTGTGTACCTCGATCCTAATTAGTTGTTGAAACGTGGCATTTGTTTACGTTGTCAACTGTTCTTTCCATTCAATATTGAGTGAGCCAAGCCTGTCAAGTATCAATTTTACGTGGCACATTTTAATTCATTCACTAATATTTCTTTCTTAACACAAAGACAGGCTTGAAGCCACGTAGAACATAAACAAACTCACTTTGCATCAAAGTTGCCAGGTACACAAACCGAAAATATATCACGGTTACAAAAATACATAAACAAATAATAAATCTAAGTTAGTTTAAATATGTTTGTAGTAGGGAAAGTATTATATTTCAATAAATTTGATGTGCAATGCGACGCTGTATTTAATTAAATTCAGGTTAATTAACATTCGATCTTATGTGGAGTAATTTATTTCAGCTTTAACACACCATTTTGTTTATAAACGATCAACTGGAGCTGATGTCACAGGTCACATGTGTTGGTATCTGTGATAGTCTTCTTTTTGAAGTGCAGGTACCCAATTGCAGATATTTGTAAATTATTTAAGTAAAATAACCTTAATTTACTATATATTTTGACTGGTCTTTTCTGTTACTTTATTTTTCAGAAATTGTATTTGTTAATTTGTGTAATACATTTCAATGAGTATAAAATTTTAATATGTAAATATATTTAACAGACCATTGGTGAGTTCCTACCTTTTATTGTAAATTGTTTGACTGCCTTTGTGAATGAAGGTGAAAGTGGAAAAAAAGTAAGTGCAATATTACAGATATTATAAATTTTACTACTTATTCTATTCTCTTTAGATAACAAAACCTTTCATTTTACAAATATTAGCTTCTGTCATCCTAGATACTTAATAGTTGTAACATAACTATTTTGTTTCCTCTATGGTTTTGGAGAAATAGTTAGTTTTTTGTTACAGTAAAACTAAATGATTCAGAATGTAGAATACTGCAATAATACAATGCAAAATTTTAAGCTATAGCAAAACAACTAATTTGTGCCAGCTTTAATGAAACTTTGGCTACCACTTTTTAATTTTCTACCTTGCAATATTTGTGTGAGCTAAAGTTACTTTTCTTAATCAATCTTTAATAATCTTTTTTTAATCAATTGTATTTGTGTGGGAGAAAAATTCAAATTGTTATTTTATATTTTATTTTTATAACCGGCGTTAAACAGCCGACCCAATTCTGAGTTTGTGTTTATTAATGTTTAACTCTGTAACCTTGTAATTCTTATCCCAACCGAAAATATAAAGGTAATCCCTGATCCAACTTAGGGACAAACTAGTCTTTGGAAAAAACTTCTTTGATGGAACTAACCCACATTTGCTTTGCATGGAGGATTACATAAAACTATGAAAACCTCCCACAGTTAACCTGACAGAAAGGGGATTCTAACCCATGATCTGTCTACCACTTTTGATATTTTATGTCAGCAGTGTGGTTGGTGCGAGACTGGAGCAGGATTTTTATTAACCAGTCACCACTGGGATTCAAATCTGGAATTACCTCATAGGGAGCCGACGCTTTTTTCCCCTTAGCCACGGCTGCTCTTATATAAGAATTTTGCATCTTTCGTCTCTTTTAAAACTAATCTAAAAGTTTCACATAGGACATGCTCAAAGAACTAATGTTAAATAATTCTACTGATTAGTGACTTATTTTTAACAATGGAATTCTTATTTAAATTAATTTATTTTATCAAAACTTCGAAACAAGTTTTGTAGATTGTACCTCTTATAAACATACAAAATAAAATAAAAAGTTGGTAAAAAAAGAAGTTCCACCACTTTACAATATCTTTTTTTTATTTTATCAGGTGCTATCTTTGTTGTCATTTCTTGTTATTGAAAATTCTGACAATTTTTATGATTACATCCCATTTTTGGACCCTTTTCCAAATAATCCTGTATTTGAAAATCTTACTTGCAAGTATAAGGATATCAAGTATAAAAATGGAAGTCTCTCTTTAGAAAAGGTAATTTGTGACTATTTTCTTCTTTATATAGCTTTAAAAAGTACAGAATTTAAAAATGTTTAATACCAAATTGTCAAATAATTTTTTTTCTGTCATGCATTTTCAGAAATTTTTTCTTACGTAAAATAATCTATATATTATATATATTTTTCCCTTTGAAGCGAAAATTCCTGTTTCTTTTTTTAATGTTACTTTCTATCGATACTGTTATTTTATGTCATCATAAAATTTTTTGCCTTCATTGCTAACTTTAATCCTTGAAATCTGGTTAAAAATAAAAGATGTAACTTTTAATTTTTGTATTGTTTTTCTTATTTAAATGAAAAGGTCATAATTTAAAATATTATGCAAGACAAGAAGATTAAAAATTATATTTTTAATTCTTAAAATTTACATATTAAGAATTTTTAAATAAAATAAGTTTTTGATTTGTGTTGCCTGAACATAATTTTTGCAACAAGTCAATTTTTTAATGAAATAAACATTTAAAAAAATGATTTTAGGTAATCTAGGTAGATAACTAAGTTTTAATCCGTCTCAGTGTACAAAAATAATAGCTGAGCTTAAAGGCTATTGTTCGAGAGTAGGAGTAACCAACCACTTTAATATTTTACTCCGTTGCTGTTAGCGCATGTACAAACAACACAATCTAGTCATCCATTTTTTTTCATGCATATCAAAGTTAGAAATATAATTTATGTCAATCAGTACAATTTTCTAATTTGATTCAATGAAACTGATCTTTCTTTGCTTCTTCTTATAATTTTTAAAAAGATTTTGCCAAAGGTTAACTTTTATCAGTATTAATGCTCATAGATTTAATTTGTTAATGTTAAAAAATGAAAATTTTTTGCTCATCCACTATACAGGAAATTATAATTTTTCTGAAATCGTGTCAAATGATGGGAAAGGGCACTGTTGAAGGTCTTCAGCATTTAAATGAACAGTTGAAACTGCAGCAGCTTGGACTGTTGAGAATGTTAAATTCTCTGAAAGGTAAAATTTAATCATGTTTTTTTCTCAATCTGCTGTTTAATCTTATTTTTTATAATGTGCTTGTTTTGTAATATTGAGCCAGTGGAGTGTTGGCCGAATTTCTCAAACTTTCCAATTTTAAATATTTGCATGACTGGATATTTTAAGCACAATTTAGTTTTCAGTTTCCATATGATTTCATGACTCGAAGAATTGGCAGGAATTTTGTTTTTTGATTTGTAAAATGATACTGTAAAAAAAATCTAATTTAAGCATTTATTGACTGCATATTTTTAGTACAATTTGGTTGTTAGTTTCCATATGATTTCATGACTCTTTATTTGGCAAGAATTTTGTTTTTTTGATTTGTAAAATTATTCTGTAAAAAATCTAAGCTAAATAAACTAAAAAAAGTTCACAATAAAATTTTACGAAAAAATAATCTTCAGCTCATAATTTCAGAAAGTTATTTTCACTTTACCAGTCAAATCGATGTACCTAAGTTTGTTCTACTCTCTGGCATTTTAACTAGGTAAAGCTTTTCAGCTCTTAACATATTCAAACAGTTTGAACTATTCTTCTCTGTTTTCTCAGAATTTTCCTTTTTAGAGAAGAGTTTGATTAGAGTTCTTTTTTCACTGTGGGTAAACTAAATAATTTTTTCAGGTTTTATTATTATGATGAAAACTTTTTGCGAAGAGAAGAGTACTGAATTTTTAAAATAAACTTGAATAAATTCTTGAACTTTGCCCCTATGAAACTCTTAGTTTTCTGTAAAGGTGTCTCTAAAAACTTTTTTAGTTTTGATACGTGGAATTATATAATAAACTGTGTATTATTCACTTTTATAATTTTCACTTATATTTTTGTAATTTTTCAAATTTTACAGAAAAGATTTTATTCTCTGAAAATGTGAAAGTTTGTATTCTACATCAGTTAGTTTGCCAACTGACGTCTCTTTGTGCATCTGATGACGCATCACAAAAGGTAATTGTCATCAACTTTTATTTCCCTACATTGCTTTTAAGTTAAATTTTATTGAGGTTATTTAATTTAGTATTTTAAAAAATTTGCTTTTATAATTTTATTATTAAATGGTCTTAATGTCAAATGTTTTTTTTTTTTTGCCTTATTATGTCATTTGGCTAATAATAGAAAATTTTTCATAAAAAATTTATTATGACATCTTTCCTACTAAATCTAGTGAGTTATCCTTTTTCTTAGCAAAAATTATGTTTGATAATCAAAGATTTTGTAAGCCAAAGCATTTGATATCTAAAATTTGGATAATGATGAGGTCAATTAAAATTTGTTTTTAAATTTTGATTCTCCTCTGTTTATCTGAACTTGGGTTTATAGCATAAACTATTATTTTACCTTTTTTTTTCCAATTTTAAACAAAGTATTAAAAGTATGGAATTTATTTATTTTTAAGAATTGCTTAACTAGGTTCTATTTTTTGGACTTATATTTGAATTTTTTAGGTTCAAAAGGCAGCTAGTAATTGTCTTGGGGCTATAGGACCTGTAGCATTTTCATCTGTGGTTTTGCAACCATCTTCAAATGTGAATAGTAATGGGTTAAATACTATTCAGCAGAGCTATCTATCTGTCATTAATATTCTTATTGAATATTTGTTCCATAAAAGGTAGTTTTCTGGGTTTTTCTTTTCATGCTTGTATAATTAATGTCTGAAATTTATTAATTTTAATTAAGTTATTTTTATTATAATTCCAATTATTATTCTCCTTATGATATTTTTTATTAAATAATTTAGGGAACTAATAATTTAAGGGGCAAGCTAAGTTTAAATTTTTTTACTTATTTAAATGCATTTTTGACTGTGGATAACATAGCTGTATTTGAGTGCTAGAACCAAGCAGAAATGTAAAATCAGTCTTCTCTTGTGTGGGAAAAACTACGCAAATATTTACATAAAGCTGCTTTCTTTTTGAATTTCATTTGGTTCTGGCAATCAATTTGTAAAACTAATCTTGTCTTGCTACAAAACTTTTAATTTTATTACTTGCTAAAGGTGAATTTGTATCAGTGTTTTTCATATTTTGTACTTGGAATTTCAAATCAGTTCTATTTGGGGCTGGCTTGATTTCTAAGCCAGTTCCTTTTTGATCAATTTTATGCAAATTTTTACAATATTCTATTTAAATTTTTGTGGCAGCTAGTTAAATTATCGGAAAATTAGGCAGTTAAATTTTTTTATTTAGTATTACATTTATTTCATTATGTAATTAGAATTATATGAATTTGTGTTATTATATCCTGTTTGTATCGGAGCACTTAATATATTTTTATTATTTCATTAAAGGAAAAATATTTTTTAAACAAAATATTTGAAGTTTTGAATGCAATTTAATATAATCGCTGTTTTATTTTCAGACCAAAATTTAATCGAATAAAATTGTTTTTAATTTTTATTGTAGAATTGATGTTAAGAAAACAGCATCTGAAGTACTTAAGAATCTATTGGGAACGACAAATGGCTATTCATTTTTTGTAGAGTATAAAAAACACCACTCCACAAATAACATTCTAAATTATGCATCTCCATTTGTATATTCGCAGAATGTGAGCATGTTTTATAATCCATTTTATTGTTATATTGAAATTTCTATTTCAATTAAGTTCTGCATTACTTATTGCAAATTTTCTTTTTTGTTATGTTCTGTATAATATTTATCTCAAATCTCATGCTGTCTATAATCTTAATATATTTCATACTCAATCTTCATTATTTTATAAGAATTTATAAAGTGCGTTTCTTTATTGAAACTGGGAATAAAGAACAAGATGGTAGAGTGAAACCCTCGTACAGAAAAACCACTTTACTTTCTTAGGTTTTTTTTTGGATTATCCACGATTTTTTTTATCCTTTGTCCCTTGTCACTCAATTCTATGGATAATTGAGGCTCTATTGTACAGTGAACCTCTCGGGAGTGACCACTCTCTGTTCTGCAGTAAAATGGTACCCAATGGAGAAGGTCGTTCTTTGGGGTTACCTCCATTGACTTCAAAGGGTCATCGAAGGTACATAATTTTCCACAAACGATTTTAACTTTAGTCAGCCTCGTTTTTTTCGTGTGGAAATGCCACTTATGTTGGCGCCATGAAAACCAGATTCCTGAATAAATTAAGCTTTAAAAAAAATCCCTATTGATATAATTATGTGTAAAAACAAATTTACCTATAATGAAAGAGGGAACTATTTTAAATAAACAATTATGTTCTTTGTTTAAGTTTGCATTTAATTTTATATCATAAAAATTAGTTAGCTTTAAAGCTGTTTGTTTGAGATGCTTAATTTTTTCTAATTTAACTTTCAACTCTCAAAATATATCATCGTTTATAGTGCACTCTGACTGCAACAGGAAGTTATAGATCTTTTTCAGAGATCATCAAATAGAGCTCTCTAAATAAGAGCATTGTGCAAATATTTTGATTATATTTTTATCTACTTATTTGTTTTGTTTACATTTATGTTTTGATATTTCCTGTTTCCATAATTAACATTTTTCTTATTTGGTGTGAAAGGATTTCCTGGTCTCTGGGAGAGGTTTTGCTGGTCTCTCCTTCAGCACTGAGTCCATGGAAAAAATCCGTTTTTCCCAAAAGTGTTCATAAACAGAGGAGGTTGTTCATAGAGGTGGTCTTTTCTTTAGGTTTCACTGTGTGTTAAAAAAGTCTAAAAAAGTTTTTTGAGCAATGTCAACTTATTAAGACTTAAATTTAACATTCTAATATATTATTTTTGAATATCACATTATAAAATAGATTTATAAGCATAAATACATTTTGATGCTTACACCTGTCAAGTACTCTAACTGCATTAATATTAATGTGCAGTTATTTTCTTTTTGTTAGGGAAAAAAGACCATAAAATCTCAATTTGAAATTTATGAATTTTACTTCTTTTGTAGATTCTTATAAAGTATAAAATTTTGAATAAATAAACTTTTTTTTAGCAAAATTCCAAATTGTATATGATGATTTTATAAATTAGTACTGTTTGGTGTTTCATACAAAAAAGTCTTTGTAAAACTATAAAAAGAATTGAAATTTCTTTTTTGCAATTTCAGTCAATAAAAAGTTTGTTGTTTGATTGAACATTTATAATTGCTGTTTCTTTTTACTCGAAGTTTTACTTTTCATATTTTAAATAAATGTAGGATGCATTTTTTGCTAATTTTTAGGCAGCACTAAAGTAATTGGAAATTTTTAATCTATCGTATACCAACTTTGAAACTTGCCTTATTTTTGAATTAAAATAACTTTTTGTTTTTAAAATACAACTAGAATATTGATCATTAAGAAATTTTTAACTCAGAAAACAACATTGATTCGGATTCAATCAGAGCTCATATTAAAAATGAGTGAAATACATACAGTTGTATAAATTATTCATTGATAAAGGTAATTTATCACAATATGTGATCTATAGAATGTGTGTTCTTTATTTTTAAAAAAAATTGTTTTTATAATAAATTTAAGAAAAATGTTAATTTCCAATTATAATTGCCAATAAATGTTGTTAGGCTGCTGTACCCCAGTGGTTAGAAAACCGGACTCTAATCTGGAGTGACCGGAGTTCAATCTTTGCCTCCGTGAAGACCGACTGAATACATGCCATATATGTACTCGTAAATTCTGTGAAATCGAAAGTCCTGCAATCAATCGCTGAGCACTACCATGGGTACAGGGATCTGGAGAAAGTTTCCTTCCCCTTTAGATTTATGTCGAAATTGAGCAAGTGGCCTCACAAATTGTGACGGAGTGTCCTCAGAGATGTTTCCCAGACTGTTGTCAATACCCCATTGTGCAGCTTTAGTGTGATGTAAATAAACTGCCTACTTACCTAGCAAATAAAAGTGTTTTATAATAAAAATTTTATGTATGATAGTAAAGCTTAACTGTAAAATAAGTAATAATTTATGTCACCAGTTATAAAAATAAGGAAAATTCAATAAACTAAGTCTGGAAATTCAGGGTAAAGTCAAAGAATTTTTTTCTGAATGTTTGTGGTCACCCTGTATTAATATTACTATTTTAACTGTGTTGTACTTATACTTTATATTTTATTGCTTTTTTTTCTGTTATAGGCAAAAAATTTGAAATCAACTTCTCAGTTTGCTGCCAATCTTGAAATAATTAATAATTTGGCTTTATGGATTCCTTTAGAAATGGATCATTCTGAGTGGATTACTACAATAGTTTGTTCTATTTTAGAAAGTGGGCTGACTAAAAACAATTTCTATGAATGCCTCGTTCCTATGTGTAGAATCATGGTATGTACATTTTTAAAATATTAGATATCATAAATTTTAGAATTAGTTTTAAGCCAATAAGATTTTGTTTATGTTCATTTTTTCCCTTTTGTATAAAGATTGATTTCATTGAAATAATGTAAATAAATTTTTAAATAGATATTTTTGTCAAATTTAAAATGAAATTGAATGTTTAAGATCTCTAAACCTTTGTACTTTAATTTATCAAAGATTTGTAAATTCTAGCATGAACATTAATTTAAAAAAATTATAAAATATTATTAAAAATAGATAAATTTTACTAGACATTTAAATTGTAATAATAATGTACTGCACACTTAAATTTGTGAAAAAAAATTTGTAAGTCGGAGCTTTAATTGTTATGGCATAAATCAATTGCTACTTATGTCCATTTTTAAAGTGGTGCTTCAAAATATTTTGTTACCTTAGAGAGGAAAAACAAAGCTTAAACTTTAAAAAAATTATTTTAAATTTTTTTTATGAGATTGAGATCTTTTTTTAATGTTATAAAATAAACATTTCTAATCATGTGCTATGATATTAAACCTTACACATTGCTTGAAAGCTTTTATTTTTTCTAAAAATAACTGACAACAAGGGAAGAAGACTTTTGGAAGAAGAATGGCCTAATATGTATTGATACCATTGGCCATTAGAGTCCCTTTCTTAAATTCTGCATGCTGGAACTATAAGATTTTTTTTAAATGAATATTTTATACTCATTTTCATCTTCAAACAGATACTTTAAATTTTTCTTCTGAGCTGCAAATTATTATAGAAATGGCAGTCAAAAATAAGTGTTTCCTTTGGCAAAAAGGTGATCTTATGAGTATTAATACTATTAATGTTTAAAAACCCTTTTTAATTAAATTGCCTAACAGAATTTTTTATTTTTTGAAATCATTATTTTCTACTTGTGTCTATCTTTAAAAGGGTGCCTTAAAGTTTGTTTCTAAATTTATATTTTTCAAGAAATAGTTTTTAAAAATATGTCTTTACTTTGTTAAAAAACAGTGGCCTAAAATGTATTAATACTATAGACACTTAAATGCATATTTATCTATTTTTTTCACATCCTTTACTTTATTGTAATGAATATTTCCTACTCATATCCATCCTTGAAGTGGTAACTTACACTTTGCTTCTAAGGTGTAATTTTTTTTAAAAGTTGCCTGATATTTATTAATATTGTTGACATTTTGGTGCTTTAAAAAAACAAAAAATTATGACAACACATTATTTTTATGAAAGAATAACATATATTTTTTCTTCTTTTGAATAGTTCATCATTTAAACTGTTTTAACTTTAATGCATTATTATGTGTGATAAACATTTTCAGCCCAACTTCTGTGATGAAATTCTTCCACACATAATCTATGCCATAGTCTCACTTGGAGATGAGTCTACTCAAGTTATGATTTCCAATGGAATCAATGCCTTTTTTTCAAACTTTTCATCATGGTTCCAAGGCACATCTTTTAAAAATGGAATTTCTCCATGTATGTTCTCTAAATTTTATTCCATTTTAATGTGATTAAATATTTTCTTAATATTTTAAATATTTTTTTAATATTTTAAATATTTTTTTAATATTTTAATTATTTTTTTAATATTTTAAATACTTTTTTAATATTTTAAATATTTTTTAATATTTGTTTAAATTTGTGTCCTAGTTAGCTGTAATTAGAATTTGATCTACCAACAAATGTATAGGTTGATTTATTAATGTATGATTGTATAGGCTACCAACGTTTCATGGTTTGAATTTGCATCATTTTTACTGTAAAATGTTGACAAAAAAGGAAAAAAATGTAGCTAAATTGAGTGTTACACAAAAGAACCATACCTTTTCATTAAGGAGTAATATTTTGAGCATTTATATACCCTTTCCTGTTCATGAATTTTTCTGCTTTGAGAATGAGAATTGGCTGGTGGGATAAGGCAATTTAGCAATGTTGGACTTTTTATCTTAATATGTTTAACATTTATGCCAACTAGTTCATGATTAGCTGTGCCTTGAAGAAGAAATGTAAATTTTCATGTAAATTTCTTTAGACGAATGTGTATAAACAACTGCATGTTGTGTACTTGAAAAATCAATAAAACTTTCACAATTTTTAATTCTAATAAACCCACTTCTTGCGGTAAATTTTGGTCATTTCTTTAGGATTCAGTTTTTAGAATTCTATCCATTATACCTTTTTCAATTTACCAATTTAAATTTTTTTTAAAATCAATGTATTTATAGCTTCTATATTTTAAATTCAAATTATTCTTTCAATTATTTTAATGCAGTGAATTATTTTGTAAATTTTTTCTTTACATTTGTGTTTTATCGGTTATTAGAAAATGCTTCTCCTCTTTTACACTTTGACTTTTTCTTATATATTGAAGAGTTTAGTATTTGTATAAAAAAAGGGGAAAAAAGAAAAACGAATTAGCTATTGAAAGAATAAGAAAACTTTAGCTACTATTATATATAAAAATGTGGTAGAATATTAATATTATAGAGTTTAAATTCTAATATGCTGTTTAAAATAATGATTTAAGTTTGTTAACATGCAATATTATTATTCTTGTTCTCCAATTATTCAATTTTTTATACTCCAATATGCAATAAATAATTAGTTTGCTTATCAGTAAACAGGGATGAGATTTTTCCGCTTTTTAGCGGATTTCCGGTTTTTTACACTTTTATTTCTTGAATTTCAGCTTTTTTTTTTATCAAAAATTCAGATTTACTAAAAATTTCACTGTTTTTTTTATAAGTATTCCGCTTTTTCAGAAAATTCCCCGATTTTCAAAGAGAAACAGAAAATTCAAACTACATAGCTACCAATCCTTTCTTATTTTTACTTATTTTAGCCATTTTCTCTCCTTTTACACGCAGCAGATAAGATTTTCTGAATTTTTTACCCCCCCCTCTCCAGATAGATCCGATTTTCGTAGTTCAAAGGACTCTGCTTCTGACAATCCTTTTAGAGGTCCCAAGCCTGGAATCTGCTAATATCTCGATTCTTATTCACACAATTTTAATATCAAACATAGCTTTTCATATTTGCGTGTTGCGGTTCTTATTCACGCGATTTGAATATTGTATGTTGCGATTCTTATTTACGATATTTAAAAATCCGATATTGGGATTCATATTTACGCAGTTTTAAAAACCTATGTAGCGATTCGTATTCACACAAGTTTGAAATTCAATGTCTTGATTTGCTCATGCGGTTTATAATATCAAACATTGATTTTCGTATTTATACGTGAAAATAAGGCATTGGGATTCGCATTCACTCGTTCTAAAAATTATGCATCATAATTCTTATTTATGCATTCTAAAAATTATGCATCATGATTCCTATTTACGCGATCTAAAAATTATGAATCGTGATTTGTATTTACGCGTTTTAAAAATTCTATATCCCAGTTGGTATTCTCTCATTTTCAAAATTGTATATCTAGTTTCATATTCATGCATGGCCGGATTAACCTATAGGCACACTAGGCACGTGCCTAGGGCCTACGAAATTCAGGGGCCTACGAAGAACTTGGGAGAAAAAAATTTGTTGACAAAAATAATTTAGCTTTAAAAACAACAAGTGTATTTTGCACAAAATTATGAAGATACAAATAAAAATATAATATTTTTCGGTAATAAATTATTTTGCAGAATCTTATGATCTAATATATTACTTTTTTGCGATTTTTGGATTCAACGAAATCTTGTATTATGCTGTCGAATTCCAAACTACGCAA